AAAAGTCTATTCTATCCATCCATCTATCCTTGTGGCGCTTCAGGCCATGTAGGTCTTTGGCCTGCCTCACCACTTCCTTGCACTCAGACCTAACTTAACTAATGCCTCTCTTTTCCATGCTTGGACTTTCAACTGCTGTAGATCATTTTCCACATGATCTATCCACCTAAGCCTAGGTCTGCCTTTGAGCCTTTTTCCTCTGGGGTATTGGTGATGCACCTTCTTTGTTCCTCTGTCATTTTGGCATTCTCTCTAGGTGTCCTGCCCAGCGTAGCCTGCCTCTTTTTATTTCTGCTACTATCGTGGGATCCTGATATAGACTGTATTACACTCCTGCATAATTCATGGTTGGTTCGTATTCTCCATCCATATTCATCCTGAGAACTTTCCTCTTCCATGTGATTAATAGGTTTTCTGCTGTTTTTGTTAGGGTCCAGGTTTCACTTGCATATGTCACAACTGGTCTGATCACAGTTTTATAAATAGTTTTCTTTGTTTCTCTTGTAATGTTTTTACTTTTGAGTATTTTCTGAATACTGAAGTATGCCCTGTTTCCGGCTGATATTCTTTCTTTTATTTCTGTTAGTAATTCGTTTCTTTCATTTAACAAGGATCCTAGGTATTTGTATTGATTTACTTTTTCAAAAGTCTGGTTTCTAATTTTAATTGCTTCATCTGTTTGTTCTTCTCTTATCATGGTCATGTATTTTGTTTTTTGGTTGTTAACTTCCAGCCCAGCTTGTAGAGATGTGTCTTCTAATTCAATAAAGGATTTTGATATGTCTTTAATACTTTTCCCCAGAAGTGCTATGTCATCAGCATTTGCAAGATACTGAAGTGGTTGGTTGTAGAGTGTGCCCGTTGGTTGTGGGTTTTGAGTTTCCCTCAGAAAGTATCCTGTTATCGTTCCTCGGGTGTCAATGTGGTTTCTGTCATTCACTTTCTTTGCCTCCAGAGTTTTGGCATATCGTGCAGAGAATCAAACTATTGGGTCAGTAAACAATGGAATTTGTAAAGGTATTTTAGAGCTGTTGAGTGAATTAGATCCTTTTTTGTAAGAGCATCTCAAACTATATGGAAAGTGGAACACATCATATCTGTCGGCAAATATTTATGAAGAATTTATTGATCTAATGGGGCAAAATGTTGTTTGTGCTATTTTTGAAGAAATTAAAAAGTCAAAGTATTATTCAATTAAGTTATGATTCCAGTTCAGACATTTCACATATTGATCAACTGACATTTACGATCCGGTACATTCGAGAATGTAATCCTGTGGAGCATTTCATCAAGTTTATTCCCATATTTTCCCATGGAGCAAAGGATCTAGCTGACACTTTTTTGGGGTTTCCTGAATGAGAACAAAGTTCTGCCATCAAACTGCTGTGGTCAATCATATGAAAATGCTTCAAATATGTCTGGACGTTACACTGGATTGCAAGCAAGTCAACTGAACGAGTTTGCCGTGTATGTCCCTTGTGCTGGACACAGCCTGAACTTTGTGGACTTAAAAACAGCAGAGTGTTGCCTACAAGTTGGAAAATTCTGTGACTTTGTTAAGCGCCTATATAACTTTTTCTCCGCTTCTTCACACCGATGGAATGTTCTGGTATCTTCGTTAGGAAAATCTCTTGCTATCATAAAGAGTCTGTCTCATACAAGGTGGCCGGCACATTTTGATGATGTCTATGCTCTGCATAAAGGTTTTGAAAAAATTCAAGATGCCCTGGATTCTTAATCTACTGCCACTGATCAGGAAGTGAATACAGGGCGTGAGGCAGAAGGACTAAGTAAGAAAATGGAGAAACTGTAAACGACATTATGGAAAGAGTGAACAAAACAAGTTACGGTCATGCAGTCAAAAGATGCTGACATACAGGTAGCCATAAAATTTCTTAAGTCTCTGAAATCTTATCTTCAAGAAATTTGATACAAATTTAGTACGGTAACTATGAACGTAAGGTCAAGAGAAGGTGTCCAGAATTGGAGTACCTATAGTGATGGTAAGAAACGGAAATGAAATCGAAGTGTCCGTCTTAGTATATGATGGACCAGAAGAATGAAGAAGTAACAGATCTCTCTAAATATGATAAAAGTGAAAAGTTCACAATCGAAATTTTTCACAAGGTGCACAAGCTTATTCTTGGATTGAAAATCTGTTTTCCTTCTTTACCAAAATAGAATAAAATGTGGGAAGATCTAGGTAATTTGTATCACATAGACCTTAATAAGGATGACCTATTACATGAATGCAAGCATCTCAAGAACTACCTGGTTCTGGATGAAAATTGTGACTCACTACTTTGTCTGAACAAATAATTGCAGACAACTTGAAATTTGTATTTCCTAATGTTGAAATTACACTCATGTTCATTATGATAACCAACTGTACAGGGGAACATTCATTTTCAAGATTGAAGCTTATAAAGAATCAGCTTCGCGGTACAATGGGACAAAAATGTTTGAACTGGCTTTCACTTATGTGCATGGAAAATGACATCTTTTGACCATTGACTTTAAACCAATAATAAACGATTCTCTGCAAAAAAAATTAAGCAAACCATCTGTCTGTTAATAATAACTTATTATCTTCTGTGATTATTTATAGTTTATTTCTGATGATGTTGAATGTTTTTCTGATAATGTTGAATGATTTTGTTAGTTTTTTTGTAGGTATCAAAAATTGAATTCATCGAAGTTTAACTTTATTGAATGTTTATTTTTATTCCGCTTGGTGAGTTGGTGGGGAGCAGGAACTGTTTGTTTGCGCCCCCCCCCCCCTCCCCCGTTTGAGCTTGGGGCAAGTGCCCCCCTTCGCCTCACGGCAGAGGTGTTTTGTGTTATTAGGGGGCCCAGTGCATTGCTGTGCTCAGGGCCCCCCCTATTTTATTTTTATTCCGCTTGGTGAGTTGGTGGGGAGCAGGAACTGTTTGTTTGCGCCCCCCTCCCCCTCCCCCGTTTGAGCTTGGGGCAAGTGCCCCCCTTCGCCTCACGGCAGAGGTGTTTTGTGTTATTAGGGGGCCCAGTGCATTGCTGTGCTCAGGGCCCCCCCTATGTTGTTACGACGGCAGTCTCAACAGAGTCATCGCCTATATACCCAAAATGTAAATCAGAGAGAGGAACGGTCCTGCACTGACCACTAATTTAACACCCGTTCTGTGACACTTTTTAGCTTATTTTAATAACTCTTTCTATTATACTATGGGGAGGGGGTGGTGTGTGTGTGTGTCATTCAATCAGCATGACAGTGGTGATTCATGCTAATGGGGGGCACTCTACCTGGGCAAACACCAGAGTGGTGCCATAATTGTATTGAGACTTAAAGAATAAATTAAACGATAAAATCCTGTGTACTTTACAAAGACAAGGGCGCCAAAATCATCTTTTTGCTGGTCCACCCCGAGCAACACGTTTTTCTATAAATTGAAGGGCGCTATTTTCAGGTTTGGCCCTGGACCCACTTTTCTTCAGCAATGCCCTGGTCATGATGCTCTATCAGTTTTTATTAGCAATGGCATCCCTTGAAGATCTACAGCTGAAGCTGATTTGATCATTCTTTTATCTTAACAGGTCACATCAACAATTTGTATAATACATGTTTCTGGAAATTGGTCCAGGAGAAAGGCCTGACACCAGCACAGTCGCAAGAGCGATTGAAGGTAAATCTTTGAAACTGTGAATATTAAAGCCAAAAAATTTTGTTCTAAGTTCATACTTTCTTTTAAATTAAATGCATTAGGAAAATTTGATTATCATCTTTTTTTTTTTACATTTTTTTAATTTTTAGGGCACCTTATCCAGTGATAAAAATGAACTCCTCTTCTCAGAGTTTAAAACAAACTATAACAATCTGCCAGAGTTGTATAGGAAAGGTACAGTCATCATCAGGCTCCAGGTACGTTGAGCTTGCCTTATATTATTGGGGACTCACAAAGCCATATTTTTTTTAAAAAGTCACATGTACTATTTCCAGAGGTTAACATTAACAGAGTTATTCCTCTGAAGGAATCCCAAGAAATTGAGAAATTAATGTCCTTTTCAAAAATTTAATCTATTACAATTTGCTAATTGTGCTTTATTATGGAACAATGGTTTGGTCAGCACCAAATTCAATGACAGTAGATACTTTTTTTTTTTTAATGTTGCATGCTTTTCATTAAGCTCCCAAATGGCTGAATTTATGGGACAAAAAAATAGAAACATGGCAGTGTGCAATTAGACCTTGATTTTTTCTTATTTCTGGGCTCTGTGCTAAGTTTATCAACTGAAATTTTTTAACTTAGATATAAGAGAGAATATCAAAGACGCTTTTGACTTAATGATTACTCTAAAGTTTAATGTGATACTTAATAATTTAGCATAGATTTGAAAAAACAAGTAGAATAATAATATGACTTTTAACATTAGGTGTTGATGGGGCTGGGAGTTTAATTAATTTTTTTAATCTCTTTCTAGTCATAGCTTTTTTTTTCTGTTTTTATCTTCAGCTTGTCTTCTTATTTAACTTTATGAAAAAATTTAAAAAGTTTGTGTTATTTCAGGATTCCAAAATTCTAGCTCAAAACAACAGAGAGGATGAAAATTCCAAGACCCCCCCAGTTAAGTGGAAATCTTCCAGCATGGTTTTTCATACTGATATAATCGGCAAATCATTTTGGGAAGAACATCATTACATATTGAATAAAAAATTATGATCAACCTAGAAAATTATGTTCAACAATATATCTTATTTTGAAATCTTTAAGACTGAGGTTGGATTTTCAATCTATATAATTTATAAAAGATGCATGATATTCAAAACTCATGTTTCATGTATTCATTGTCCAGCAATGTCCAGACAGTTTACTTTTTAAAAGTTATTAGAATGTTTGGACATAAATTATTCCATATTGAATGCAACTTATAGTTTTATTTAATATGTATTAATGGGTAATTTATAAATATTTATGACATTAAACAAATATTTAAATGCATTTGTTTTTCATTAATTTTATCTTCATCGTCAAAAGCTCAGAGTTCACACAATAAAAAACAATATTTGTTGGTATAACATTTGTTTATATATGTGCAAGTTATTTTAACTTGTTAACAAGAATACAAGGTCATAAATATCCCAGGGTGCATGGACTAATTTAAGTAGTAGCATCCATTTTACATAGGGTTTGAATATTAATAATGAAAGACAGTACATTCTGAGTGAAGGTGGGCTCAAATAATATCAAGTCATATTCAAAAGCATTTTTTTTAGCAGCAGCAGAATTTTCTCTTTCCCAAAATTTATGGAAATTTTTAAAAAAGATTCTTACACCTCTAGAAGATGCAAACTAGGTGAATTTAAAAATAAGGATAATAATTTATATGTTTAAAATGCATATTTATTGTAATCAAATTAATTATATTTTACTTCTACATTCTTTATTTTGATGATATAAAAGTGATAATACATCATTTCAAAAGCAGTGTTATTAATAGTTAACAGTATTATGACTATATTTACAGCTCATGAAGACTGTAGCACAAATGAACCAACTTACTGTATTATGTTGTGCTAATAAGTCTGAAGTTGGACAGTTATTTTGATGTCTTGTCCGCTTGTCCGCAAAAGTCCCCATTTATAAGGGAATGAGAAATAACTTTGGTATTGCATATTAACTTAATTGGTCATGGCTTTTTTTATCATCCTTCAAACATATCTTATTAACAACAATTCAGTTGACATGACAAAGCAGCAATGGCTGACTGCAAGATTCCATTATGTACAAAAATCCACTGCATAATTTATTATCACATTATAGGTATCAAATGTTGGAGAAGCTCAAAACATCCACTCTTCAGTTACAATTCAAATAACTCAAAAGATCAAGTGATCAAGCATATATGTTTTTAACCATGTAAAACCAAGATCAATAAGGACTAGAAAAATTTAATGAGTATACTTTCTGTGGTAGATATTAACTTCCCACCTTGACAATATTGAACTTATAACACATGGTTTCAAGTATACAAGTTTTGTTGTTCTTTTTCTAGAAAGCTTTTACATAAAAAGTGAATCCACACATTTTTACACCAGAGTATTACAAAAACAGGTCTAAAAAATGTTAGTGTATATTAAGATTTTTTTCATAGACTTGGGAACTTGATTCAGTCTTCTTTCTTATTGTTTAAAAAAAAAAGGTTCTGCTCTTCATGTTTCATAAGGCAAGCTGCAATCAGCAACATTGTGCTGTGGTCACATCTTAACCTACGAACTGTGGCATAGATCATTCTGTAGTGTGGGAGCTTTTCAGAGCTTTTTGAGTGCCTTTTGAAATAGCATTAAATGACATACAAATATTGATACAAGACCCCAATAAGTATATATTTTTAGAAAGGTAAATGGGGATAAAGTTGGCTATATTGCCCACTCAGTAAAAAAGAATTTGTTAAGTATCGACCTTGGAGTGCTCAAGATAAAAAAAAATCAACAAAATGTCTTGCTTTCAAGTGCTCATAACATCATTAATTTGTATAGATTCCATTTAAATACTAATATAAAAATGTGGTAGACAATTCATTTATCTTTCAGAAAATGTATAGTTTGCTAAAGCCTCGATTACAATTAAGCCTCTGAAAGCAATTTTAGTAATTTTAGGTCATTTATTACCGGTACTGAAAAAAAAGAAAGAAACTGGGACCACAGCTAAAACCAAGTACAACATACAAAATCTCAGACAAAAAAGTTATTATTGACAAGTAAACATTTAAAAAGGAACCGTGGAACTGATTTGGGTTGTGTAACTATAAAATTTATTAGTTCTGATCTAAATTCAGTCAGTCCTTGCCCAACTTCCGGGCCTGGCTCAAAGTCTAACAGTAGGCCAAATTCAGTATCACTGGGACTAGTATCAGATTCAATAGAACTAGAAGAATCCGAACTGAGATGGTCATGGAGAATGTTAAAATCATCATCAGTATCACTTAAATCCTCTCCTAAAAAACTTTCAAATATATTTCTATTAGTATTAGTTCTTGTACTGAAAGCACAGCCAACAGTTCATGTCAAAACTTGGATAAATTCTTCGGGGGGCCAAAAATAATTTTAATTTATAATCACACTGTTCCGGGACTCATGCAACACCATTTTCCAACACTTTCAGCTGTTTCAATACTGTCTCAATAAGTTTCTTTTTGTCTCTTTCATTTTTCTTTAATGAAGTGAACAAATTATTTTTCTTCTTGTCACCATTGTTGAGCCTGAAGAAAAAAAAAATATTTGCTCAATCCAGTATTAATTTTCATAAATGTTATTTAGAGAATAACATAATATTTATTCTAATAGTAAACTTCATACATATGACTCAGTATTTTAGAAATATCAATAATTATTTCAATAAAGCTGACATAAAATAGGTAAACCATTTTCTGAGGAGTCCTCAAAATGAACAAGTTGTAGCAGTTTATTTTACTAGAATGTATCTGTCTGACAGTAGCCTACATAAAGGTGAATTCATTCAATAATAAGAGAACAGGTAATTACAACTTACTTTTCTAATAAACTGACAGCAGTATGCCTGGGTACTCGCAGATAGCGAGAAGTTTGCTTGCCAAAGTCTGCCAGATAAACTGACCAATCCCAATTAGTAAAAAGATCTAACAACTGGGGGAAATTTAAAAAAAAACAACAAATAAGTGTTAGGGTTTTTTTTTCAAGTCTTCCTTGACAACAAATATTTAATTTTAATCCACTGTTGTCACAAACCATAAAACGGTAGCAGTCATAATTCAGGTTCATCATGCTGTGGCTTAATTAACAAGAAAAATAATTTCAGTGACATTCCTTCTCATTTTGTCATCTTAAATGTGTCATTTCTGTTTGTTCCAAATGTGTCAAAGTCACTTAGTATCTGATACTAATTACTAGGAAAGTTATCTGTATCTAAACATCACTGTTGTAAACACTTAGGAATGTGTACAAAGCTAAAGGGAGATTATTCATGAATATTGGTATGCGTAATATGTGAATATAAAGGTTATATACGTCGACTCTGGGCTTCAGGTGGATGCAACGAGTTTAAGTAGCCTTAAAATGTAAAGGTACCTGTCTAAGATCTGTGAAAGCCATCTGAAGTGTTCCATCACTTGAGTCTGGCACTGGTTCTGAGACAGCAAACACTAAAAAAAAAATGAAGGAAACTTGAATGTTAAGCATTTTGTAATGAGTAAGACAGTAGCACAAATATTTTACATACAGCAAGGCCATTTTACACAGTGCTTATATTCACATGAGCTTCAAGTATTCACAGTGCATGTAATTAGTAAATGATCAGCTACAGATAGTTTACTCTGTTACTGTTAATAGTTAATGAGATACAAATATATTTCTGAAAATTTCCCCTAAAACTCACAAATATGTTTCTGAAAATTTCCCCTAAAACGCATGGTTGTTCATTATCGAATCAGTAAAGCACTTAAAGGTAGCATTTTCTGTATTATTTAAAATCCATCAGTGAGTCAATTCAGTTAAAAATGTTATGACATGATGGTATTAAAAAAAATTATTGATATTTTAAGACTTGTTTTTGATTCAAGTTTCTGAATGGACATTATGGAAATAACAAATATAGATATCTTACATTCACACTGCATGACATCAAGATTAAACTGTTGAAGTGCACCCATAGACAGCTGTCGAATTTCATTATCTAATAATAAGGCCATCAGACGTGAAGCTATATGCTGGCATGCTGACATACAAGCAGTTTTGGCAACTTTCTCCTGCAAAGATAACCCTTGGATCAATGGGACTTCTGTTATTTGAGATTCGATTGAGACAAACATGATATAAATCACCATGAGAGAAGATTTCAGAAAAGTAGCTTTCAATAATTATAATGCAGAGCATGCACATGTGTAATATTAAGTGTCATTTAAAAGTTTTAAGAAGTGATATGCTGTGTGAACAATTACTGTTCTTATCATGGGACTGACCAAAGGCCAGTTCTGGTAACATTGCTACAAAATGGGAATATGACAAGCTTAATGATTGCACATACTATAATTAAACCTGGATTGTCTCAGCTAAAAGATAAACTATTTTGTCTTTTTAATAATGCCTTAATTTATATATTCTACCTCTTATCAAAAGCTAGGCTTTGTTATATTTATATCTACCATTTGTGCTATTTAACAATGTTTGATTCTAAATAATTCTTTGAAAAATAATGAAATAATTGTAATGTTAGAGGATTGGTACGGTTTTGAGGCTTAGGGCAATTACAAGGAGGGGGGGGGGGGGTTGTGTGTGTTTGAGGAATATTATAATAAGTCCATCCAAGAACAAGCATTTTTTTCAAACAACTATTTTATTTGAATGTGAATAGGCTGACGAACCAGTTGGCCTGAAGTTTAAAAAATTTTTTGAAAAAAAAGGAAATAATTGTAATGTTAGGGGGTGGGTACGGTTTTGAGGCTTAGGGCAATTACAAGGAGGGGGGGGGGGGTTGTGTGTGTTTGAGGAATATTATAATCAGTCCATCCAAGAACAAGCATTTATTTCAAACAACTATTTATTGTGAATGTGAATAGGCTGACGAACCAGTTGGCCTGAAGGTATATAAATAGGCTATCTACAACTTTTACTGCTACTCTATATTTTATAATGTTGGCCAGCTTTTTGAAGTTAGGCTCCAAATGCATTCTGATAAACTCATTTAAAATTTTTACATTAAGTTTCAAACATACTAATAAGTATTTTTTGTTAAATGCATGCAGCAAGAGAGTTCTTTGTCAAGCAATATTTCAGTTACTGTAGTAGATTTCATCACATAACTAATGAGAAACTTTCACTCTACATGATGCCAAATCAAGCAAATAAAATATAGCAGCAAGTTTCTTAATAACTTAATAGCAAATAAGTCCAAATATTTTTTAATAAAACATCTGCGGTACTTTTTATAGTAAGATATTTTGTAAATTTCTATGATAGTATACATTTTATTATAGGTGCTGGCAACAGTTTCTGATAATGATCTGCCAATTATTATTTCATGGTGTTAATCTGTTTATTCATTAATTAAAGACAACTTCTACAGCTATAACATGCTTTTCAGTCATCAGCAAACAGTGCCATGCTATTCTTACTACATATTTAGCCCAATGTGTATGGAAAACCTGTATTGTGACAGAAGAAGAGCATGTCTTTCAGAACATGTTACTAACTTAAATCTTAACAACATTAATCATGAATAATCCCGCAATGATTACACATTTTAATATACTAAAGGTAAAAATTGCCTAATAGCTCATTGATCAAATCAAAAGCAGTATTTTATATTAATTTTTTTAAGGCATTCCGGTTGGCATTTTTAAGTGCATTAAATCTGTAAAGAGGCTTAATTTTTAAACCTGCTGAACTTTTTTATTGTTCAGGTCCAGATAAATTAAGCATTGAATGAGGGAAACTGCCATAAACAGGATATTCAAGTAAAAAAGTGTCACACAATTTTTAAAAAAGGGTGATGATTGGAAAATAAAGTTCCAAGATTTATAGTAAACTAATAGACAAAATGGGGCAAAAAGTAATTTTTATGTTCTTGGGGAAAAAAAAAAATCTGAATGATTGAAATAACAGACCCAACTTACATTCCCTCTTTGAATGCCCTGTCAATAAATCAATCCTGTATATTTTTACCAATTAGCTTTGACAAATATGTTACAAATATAGTCTAGCTCTTCTGCGTAACGTGATCAAGTTCCCGTTATATAAATTGATCAAATTTGTGTTTAGATCAGTTTCCAAAATTTCCTTTAGGTTATCAATAGGTAAAGATATAAACAATTATTTTCAACAAGTATATCTGCTGAGAGTGCTACCAATCAATAAGTCTAAAATCCAACACCTCACCTCCTTATTTAATTAGTGCCACCAGTCACTACTGAGAACCACTAATGTAGTGAATAATATTTTGTAATCAACCGACATTAAGTTTTTTTGTCAATATTAATTTTTGTGCCTTACTAACCAAAAAGTTGCAATTTAATAACTAATCTGTAGAATATCCAAAACAATGTTTGACATACATAATGGTGAGAAGTTATGAGTGCTATGAACAGTGGCGTAGCCACGGTTGGTGTCACCCGGTGTACTAAACTTATGGTTACACACAGCTTTCTTCGTGTTACACAAGACCACAGTATAACAATGACCAGAACAAAAACAAATTATTTGAAGGTCAGGAGGTATATGTATTTAGAACTGTAAAAACAATGGTGGCAATAAAACCCAGCAGTCAAAATATGACTATCATGCTCAAATGTTAAGGTGCGATGCTAGTGACGAATTGGCAAAAATATTAATTTTTTTTGTATTTCTGGGTTTCATTTATATTGGTTTCAAAAATCGTTTTTTTAAATTTAAATAAATTTAAATTAATTATTAAAAGAAATTAAACATTTTTGTAAATAATTTTTTTTGTTAGATCTAACCCTATAAATCAGGCCTGCACAACAAATGGCCACATGCACTTTGCAGCCCACAAAGTAACGAAACATTCTTTGTTAATATTATTTTCTGAATAGCACTCCCCCTGTGCTATTTTCTTTCGGACCGCACATGTTTTTCTGTGCTATTTTCTTTCGGCCCGCAGATGTTTTTCATAAAGTATTATGGTCCGCCTTACATTTTGAGTTGTGCAGCCCTGCTACAAATGGTAAAATTTATTTTTCATATTTTTTATTTTTGGCGATATGATTGAAAAACTTAAAAATCTCCTGACCAGATCTTATTTGGCATCAATGGAAAATTTTATTTCTCAGAATTTAGATATCTATAACTTCCTGTCACTTACGAAAGTTACAGAACACTTCAATCGGGGTTGAATCATGGTCAAAACAGGGGGTTTTTCTGACATAAATATAGGGTCACCTAATTTCTGACACATCAACATTGAATTTTTATCAATGTACGCATTTGGATTGGTTACATGTGTGGAAAATGTACGTGTGATTGGTTATCTTTTTATGAAATTCGGTTAGACAAGTAGTGTGTGCTCTGTAAATATGCAATTTTTCAATTTGGTGTCACCCCCTGAGATGATGTCACCCAGTGTGGTCCGCATCCCCTAGCTACGCCACTGCCTATAAAGTTAGTAAGAAAATAAACAGATCACGTAATTTTCATGAAGAAAGCAGATGGCCTTACAAGATGGTGTAAAGAAGAAAATATTTGATGAGGATGTTATAAATTAAAAGCATTAAATAAATGTCATAAGAAAAAAAAGATCTTTACTGGTAAAAGCAGACCTGTTTACCCTCAAACTCCTAAAATCATACAATATCCCAACAAAATCATACAATACAGTATCTCTAATAGATAAATAATAAACAAAAATTATGTATGTATACAAATCGTTAAAACAGGTCTGTAAAAGTTATCAGGCACCTAACCTGATACAATAAATTAGTTGTGTTTGTGAAATTCAGGATAAAGATTTTTATCAGTGTTTGGAAAACAAATCCTGTTTATGCAGTTAACTAAGTTAATACATAGCATTTAAAAATTTTAAAAAAGCTGTTCAAGAAGATCATTTGCCCCATTTGCTTTAAATTTGAGTGCCAGTTTCATAGTTTACCCAATTATTTCTTAAATTTCAGAAAACATGACAATGATTTTAAAATACTTGTATTTATTTATATTGTGTTAGGTACCTCACACCTTCACAATTATGGTGCACAATGATTTTGGATAAATTGTTCAGTTTTTTTGTTTTGCTAAAAGTTGAGGTTCTTATTAAATGCTTATTTGACCAAGTGTTAGATTTCAGTCCAACTTTGTTAAAAGTTACATATTACTATTTCAAGCTGAATCATTAGTATCACATTCTCTTTTTAAATCTAAAATAATTGTATGGTTTCAGTGACATAATTTTTACCCCCATTTGAATATAGGATAGCATTAAGCTAAGCTGAGTGAGAGAGCCGCTGTGAAATTATTCAGTGAGGGGTAAATCACTACCCAGCAGGGCACTAGAGACCATTGGCAGATATGCAAATAACTATGTGTACACTTACAGGCAAGTTGGTGAAAGACATAAAGGTGCTCTGTAGGAATGCTACAAGATCCATGAGGTAACTACTAGCTTGTCCACGGGATTCAGAGATTACCCAATCATAGGAAGCTGTACAGAATAAAATTAAATAGAAACAAATGGTACTAGCATTAGAGAAATGTGAAAAGAAAGTGTTTTTAAATGGCATTTTTATGTGATATTTTCTTTTTTAATGAATTGCTCAAGCATGTTCTTAATACATCTCCAATAAATACTTCAATACTTGTATTAATTGAGCCCTCTATTCATCTCTTTTAATCTTAGCCTTAGACACTTCTTTGTTATCTCTTTGTCTTTATGACTAAGCCAGACCTGTTTACCCAGGAACTCTAAAAATAGTACAATTCCATCTCAAAATAGTACAATACTGTCTCAGAATAATACAATACTGAACAAAATAGTAAACTGGCTAGCAATAAAGGGGGCACACATTTTATAAATAAATTATAATTCATCTTGTCTATTGTCTGCATTTAACTCAAAATATTCAGCCCACCTCTCCAGTACTTTATAATTTTGGTTAATAAATTCTCCATCCTGGCTCTCACACTTTTGCGGTCTGGCTTGGTATCCATTCTTTTCATCTTTTATCTATATGTACATTCCTCTTGATAACTTAATTAATAAGTCTTCTACTTTTATTTCTTTTAGCTTAGTTTTTTCCCCATTCCCTCTTTTTCTTCCTGCAAATTTTTAAGGCTTTCCTACTTCTGGCTTATGTATCATGTTTCTTCATGCTTTGTTCCTTTCTTAGACAGTCTCTCCGCATTCATTATCAAACCAGCCTACTCCTACTAGTTTCTCTGCTGATCTTTTCATTGCCTTTTTATCCTATTCCACTGTTCCCAGAGCCTATAAAATATCCCATTTATTTTGTTTTCCTTCTTTATTTCCTCCTGTGATGTGTTTGTTGTGCTTGTACTTCATTTTGGTAAGCTTTTGCAGTTTGTGGGTCTTAGTTAAGTTTTTGCTAACCAAATCGTATTTCTCTTTGATTTTGGCCATTGTGAATTATGCTTATCCTCTGCTCATAACTCATATTTAATCCTAACAAGTAGATGGTCAGAATCTGCATCTGCTCCTCGATAGATTCTTACATCTAGCATATCTGATCCATGTCTCCAATCGATTAGAACATGGTCAATTTGGTTGTAGGTAATTCCATCTAGTAAGTTCCAGGTAACTTTATGTATATTTTTGTGTGGAAACTTGGTGCTGTTATCTGACATCCCTTTTCCTGAAGCAAAGTTGGATCCCATTGTCATTGGATTCTTTATGCAGACTGTCATAGCCAATAGTTGGCATGAACACTTTTCCTATTTTGGCAGTAAAGTCTCCAATCACTATTTTAATATCATGTCATGGTGGCTCTTTGTAGATCTTTTCCAGTGTATCATACAAGGATTCTTTTTCCTGACCTTCTGTAACTTCGGTGGGAGCATGAATATTTATAAATGTTACATTAAACATTTTTCCTCGCACGCACAAAGAGCACAATCTTTCATTCTCTGGTTTGAAGTCTATGTCTGTACTGACTGCTTCTTTTTTCACGGCAAATCCTGTTCCTTCAAGTGTTAATGCTAATGCCACTATAAAATATGGTGCAGTCTTTTGTTTTGATGATGTCTGCCTTTTTCCATCAAATTTCTTGCAATGCAGCAATATGTTATTATTTAATAAGTGATTTACTAAACAGTCTAAACAGACTTACTACATTCCAGGTCGCAATCCAAAAATCATGTCAATATCCAGGCACAGGTCAATTTCCATTGGTATCAGTACGGGTTTTATTCTGTTGATTGGTTTTCGTTTAGCTGGAAGGGGGAAAGGGGGGGGGGGGCCTGCCCCTTACAGCTCTCTAGGTATTTGCCTTAATTTTTAGGTAAAGTTCCCTTGCCTTTACGGATCCCTACACTTCTTACAAGGCAGTAGATTCTGGTTTTGGTCCGACTCCGGGTATTTTATCTCCACGGTAACCTCCATATCTGGTGGTCTTTCCCCTATCCGCCACCTGGGTAGGCGTTCGATGGAAGACCAGTTTTTCCTCACGAATACAGTATCTTAAATCTTAATTGTAAATAAATAAACATACAGTAGTATATAATGCATACAATAACTACTCACATCACTTGACTAGTGGGATCGAGTTATGCTTACATCAAAATAGATAACTTCTTAAAGTAGATGACTGACATATGCATTGCTATCTGCGTTATCTTTGTTTTGCAAATGTACATAGATATCAATCAATATTTAGGTGAACGTGCAGATCACATTATCACAGTCTGTCACTGGTAAAAATAAAGTTAATGATGAAATTTAATGTGGTTCAAACTCGAAGTCAAATCAAAAGCTGTAGATGGTTGAAGGAAGAGGTGGTAATAAAAATCGTACAGCTGTTTTGTGTGTTATAAAAACAGATTTAAAGCCCCCGCCCGCCCCCCTCCCAGAGCCTACACTGGACCACCTCCAACCTGTCGATGCACTTCTGGGTAAATGGGTCCCAGACTGAAGATGCATAATCTAAAAGTGGCCGGACAAAGGCTTTATAGGCTCTTTCACTCTTTCACACTGGAGTTGCCGATCTTTAGATTTCACCTTAAGAATCCTAGGGTCTTGTTAGCTGGGTTGTACACATTGTTAATATGCTCGTCCCAGTGGAACTCTATTTGAATGACAACATAGAGGTACCTTACGGAAGAAACTGGCTCAAGTATATGGCCATGTACTTCGTAATGGTGGTGTTTAGGAATACAACTTCTAGAGACTGACAGTGTCTGGCACTTGGCAGGATGAAATTCTATGTCCCAGCTCATCTCCTACTCAGCTAACCGATTGAGATCCTGTTGTAGCTGGTTCTGGTCAAATCTGTTGGTGATTGTCCTATACACCGCCATGTCATCTGCAAACAGTCTTGCTTGGGATGTCAGTTTCTCGGGTAAGTCATTGAAGGAGAAGCTTGTAATGTCCACCACTACTGCCTGACATCGGTTGCTGAGGAAGCTAGAGATTCATGTTTCAGTAGTGCCTTGGATCCCATATTTCTAAAGTTTGTGTAAAAGTAAAAGCCAACTATGATTTACACAGTCAAATGCCTTTGAGAAGTCCATCACCATCATGTCGGTTTGCTTGCTGCCAGATTGGTCATCAAGTCTTCTAAAAATTCAAGGAGCTGGATCTCACATGATCTTTTGACTCGTAAGCCATGCTGACAGTCATTGAGTATATTTTGGCTTTCAAGACGCTTCATGACTGCGCTCACGATTATGTGCTCCAATAGTGTGCATACCACGCTGGTGAGATATATCGGACGATAGTTGGCAGGGTCAGAATGCTCCCCTTTCTTGTAGATTGGAGTGACATGCCCTGTTCTCCAGTCTGCTGGAACACTGAATGTGCACAGCGATGATTGGAAGAGGATTGTCAGTGCAGGAGCGATTTCATTGGCCAATTCTTTGAGCACTCGTGGTTTGATGTTGTCAGGACCACATGCTTTGTAGGGACTAATGGTTTTGAGGAGGGCAAGCACATCCTGCCCTGAAATCTGGATAGCTTCCATGATGGGATAGGCTCTGTTCATCATGTTGATCTTCAGGCCTCCGATACTCTCTACCTTCACCAAAGACCAACTGGAACTGTTGATTGAGTATGTCCAATTGTGCTTTTGGGTTGTCATAAGAAATAATTATATCATAAATTCAGACCTGCCAACTGGCCAAGAAAAAAATCTTTAGGGGCGCGCGCACTCAAGGGGGTTTAAGATCTGCAAAGTCATGCACATGCCTTTTTTAGTAAATAAAGAAATATAAAGTTACCTCCATTGTCTCTGAAGAGTCCACTGACTAGAAATGTTTATATACTGGTACAGATATATAGTACAGGACAGAATATCCATTTTATTTACATATGAGTTCAGTTTTCCGGCATAATGCTAATTCCTAGGGGCCTTTTTGAACTTGTCCAACAGCTCTTTCGACAACTGAAGGTTAGCATTGCAACTGACTTAATTACAAGCAAGTAATAAAGAGTACCCGCTTTCATGCTTGCCCTTGTTTCATTGTAATTTTTCTTTACAATCTTCTAGAAATCTGCGAGTCTGGAAACATTTATTTGACTCTGACATTAAAACGACCGGAATTGGCTAGACAAATATTTCCTTCAATAAGAAAGGTGGTAAATAAAACGATCTGATCATCCGATTTCTTAGCAAAGAAATTATTAATTAGACATGGATTACTTTTAGCTGCAGTTGTATGTTGTGTTTTTTTGGTTTTTTTTTTATTTTTTATGTTTATTAATATCATTGTACCCACCACTTTCAATAGATTTTACCATTTAAATAAGAAAAGCTTTAACAAAAAAAGTCTGAATTATTTTTTAGCCGATCGAATCAATTGATGATTGAAGAATGATTTGGAGATCGCGGTTCGCTTTGATAAAAACAAGTCAGTGTACACGTCAGGCAACCGGACAAATACTGCGGGAGATATTCATCCGGTGGGCATGCCACTCTTTATAAAAAACATTGTCACTTTTTAACCAATTGTTCATTGTATATACCAGCAATGGTATTAATATTTCTTTTGTAGAATTGATCCTATTTCTTTTTCATGTAAATGTTCAGACTATCTTGAATTTGTTGAAATAGAGTGCTGTAAACTCTGATCGACATTTATCGGTCACATGACAAGGCTGACTGACAAATATCTCGCACAACTTTGTTATGCTGGTCACTTGATTTGGTCAAATATATAGTAGCCTCGAGAATTTATGCACTCATTCGTCCGGTCGCCGGACATACAGACACTTCATAAAAACAAATGCAACTCTGCCTGATTCCTGTCGTACCTGATTTTTGTTTTTGATTTTGAGGGTTGCTTTTGGGTTTTAATGACTGGTGAAAAATTATTAAGTTCGAAAAATGGGAATTTTAAGGGGTTTGTCGGAAGGTTGGAATGAGGGGTAAAAAATCTGCATGATTCCGACAAAATCGGAAGGGTTAGCAGGTCTGTAAATTACATCACACAGCACCAAAGCAATCAAACGTGAGGAGGGGCCATCTATATGGCATGTACACAAAAAAAGTCAAATTCCCCCCCCCCCCCTCACCCAACAAAGAAGCGAAAAAATCCAACATTCTTTATATAATTAAGATGTTATACTAAAAAAAATGTGACATAAGTTTTTATTGCTGCTTATATCCCAGAATATAAGCTGCATCACCCTGGGTGCTCTTTGTCCTAGGGCAGGGCCATGAGAATTAGGCGAAGAGCAGCGGCGTCATATCGACTTTAGAAATCGTAGTTCTGACGGGTCTCAGCGTTCAAATCGTAAAAGATATCTCAAAACCGTACTTTGTAAGCCAAAATCGAAAGAGTAAACAGGTCTGCTAAACCTAAGACCAAATTTTGGGTTTCTTTATTTAATATTGAAGATTCTGCACTAATTTTTGTTTATAAAACCTTGAATATGCACTATTTCAAAACTATTGCTAAATATACTTCCCATTTGAATTGAAGATAGAGTTGTTTTTTTATCAGAATTCCATTCATTTCAATGTGATAAATGTTCCTCTAGCTTTCTGTCTGATCTATCTGTATTAGGTGCTTGTTACTAATGCTCAGCAATGAATTTGCCAAATCCTACGTATTAACTCCATACTGATGTTTTGGTTTTTATTTTTAATCAATTTACCTAGATCTAAGAATTCATCAATCTTCAAGTTAAGCTGCTCATAAATCTGTTGTTCGGCATCACTACGTGCATCCTTAAACATTGATGACCCATGTAGTCTGGCTATGTGAACACTGTCTTTCTCAGCACTAAAAAAGCAAATTTACATAGATGAACAACGCATAAAAACTTCAATTTTATCAATGCTTTGCCCATGTTACAATAAATTTAACCTAAAATACCTCATTCCTAAGACACAACAGAAGTATATTCAATGAACCCACATCCCTAATCTGATCGGTCAATGATAACCCCCAATATTTAAGAGTTTTAGAACAAAAGTATTTCATAACACTAAGAAAAAGCATAAATAAAATTTCCTCAATAACAACATATTGCAGCTATATTCAACAATTCATACATTCTAATTATTCTGTTAGCTTACCCAGTCAGGCTAGAGATATATTCCTCTAAATATTCACAAGATTTTTCTAAATAGTTCATGTTGATGGAGATCTGTATTAACTGTAAACAAAAAACAGATATTATTAGGACAGGCTTCTGTACAATTCACAAAATGCTTAAGGTATTGGCAATTCTTTTTGCCCTATACAACACAAACAATTAAACATGGGCAGCAACACATACGGACCTTGTCAGTAATTACTCTCACGGTAATTACTCTCACACGGCGTCAAGTGGAAACATAAGAACCTATGAGAAGAGTCTGGGAAAATCAACATCTAGGACCACATCCCTTTTGTAAGAGCAGACACAGGCATGCAATCAGATAGTCCTATTCATTGGCAAAGGTACCCCATGAGAGGTGTGGACTAAGCCAGTGTGGGAATTCTCCACCCACAAAAACTACACAAAGTCCTCACACCTTGGTCTGCATGGACATTTCTCATTAACTAACCAACAGCCTCTGCATTCCATTGCCTTTAATTTATAACTATACTGTCACTCTCACACTAGCCTTGTTCTGGTGTAATCTGATACAATACAACAGGGGGTTAGTGTCCAGTCTTCCCACCTGTGAGAATTCTCCTCTCACCTGCACTACCTAAGTTGGGGTTTTACACATTCTCCACAATACTAGCAACAGCTTTCCTTCTTTTAAAGATTGATAAACCCTGACAAAATTATGAGGAGGTAAGGAGGAAAAGGAGAGGGTGGGAAACAACCCATAAAGAACAGTGAGGACCATAGTATGAATTTATAGGTTTTTTAAAAAATATAATGTACTTCATTTTCCCTTATAAAAATAATTTTTTTAAAGGGAAACTATCATACAATGGAGAAGGATGGAATATGTATGCTTTAGCCTTCCCATAGGCATTGTCAATTTTATGACATCTCTCTCATAATAGTTATAATGCGATTTAAAATTTAAATATTTATGAACTAGTGAAAGTGAACATAAATCTGTAATTTTTCAAAGTAAAAGTATACGTGGAAAAAAGAGCAAGTAATTAAGATGGAGCTTCAAAATAAATCATGTCATTAACTCATTCCCTGCGGCAGTGCTACTTCCGTACTTAATTAATATGCATAAGAAAGGGAAGTAACTCTGTTTTGCAGTTCATTTACATTTGTAAAATATTTATTTAAGCTACAAAATATTATTTAACTCGATCTCTCCGGAATTAATTTCTGCATTCTTACGGAATCATCTATCTTGCATATTTGTTACGCACTACTATGTTATCTCTAAAACATCATAACTTTTTTGTTTTTCATCTGAAAATATTAAGTTTGGTTTGGAATTAAAGGGGAATGCCTGCTCTTTACAGACAATACAGACTTGGGTTTAAAGTTTAATATATAAATGTGATTATGATTTAAGGAAAATAAAAATTTTAAATAAAAAACTCGCCAACTGTTCACAAAACCCTCATTCCAAGGCACACAAAAAGAAATATATACTCCAAAGTGTAACAAAAATGTGTTTTTTTCTGAACTATATGCATATGTGCATCACATTTAATAAAGATCACATTAAAAAAAGAAAAAAATGAAAGACCAGACCATAGTATCCATTGTCACCGCCTCACAAAAAGTGTCAGAAAAAACTAACTATTTCCACTGGAAACCATCTGATGCTATTAGAAAATATTTGCACTGTATCCTTGTATCTACTAACATTTATTATGGTAAATTGAAAATTTACCATAAATTTGGCATATCTTTTCATCTGGGTTAAGCTATGGGAAGCCTGAAAACAATCCATATGGATGTGCCGACTATATACAACAAATGCAACAAAAATGAATAAGGTTTAATAAAAAAATATAACATGAGCAGTGAAAAAATTAACAATGACCAAAAAATCGATTTTCGGCACCTCGGACGAACACATGCTACATATAGACGCACCGTACTAAAACACATAGTTTTAAAGTGAAACAAGATAAAAACTTCCAGTTTTTAAATTGAATCACGCTGAACCACGCCATCGCCCGAAGTCTCGAGGATGCGAGATTTCATTGCTATTTTTAAATAGAAATGAGAGAGGAGTGTGTTTCACTATGCGCCGGGACGCATTTTGATGCATCCGTCGAAACCTCCAAAGGATGCATTTAGTCGCAACCGCCGGGAATGAGTTAATACACACAGATACATACATTTTAAAGTAAAGAACAAAGGAAAGAAAAAAAACTAAGTGAATTTAGAAGAAAAAAACTCACCTGCAGCAAACTGAGGTTTGGTTTTTTAATAAGTTTAGAGAGACATCCTCCAAGAGTTTTAGTCAGCAGTTGATTGGCAGACTTGCGAATCATATCATCTATCTCTGTATGACTGGCAGATTTTAACAAATTAAAATAAAAACCCATGAAACAGTATGCAAAAAGTGGAATAGCAACACTTCTGACTTTGATGACCATGCCATAAGTTTGAAAGTACTTTGGCAACGAGATTACTAATGCAGTTTTGATAAAATTAATTTCTGTGGAGGATTTATAGGAGTCAAGAGTCATATTGTGTAAAGACTCTTGGGCTACAGAAGTTAGCAAAAGGATTTTCATTAAAAGATATTTGATCTAATCGTTTTCTAATCCTTTACCAAAAAATTTATACAATTTGATATATTCCATAATATTTTGATGTATTTCATATGCAAAGGCCAAATCACAATAGTTTAAAGAATGAATAATGACTCACCTCAAATGTAAATCAGCTGAAAATTTTAAACACGCGTTGATGTACTCTTTAACTTGCACATAAATACTAGGCACAAACTGAGAGAAAGGAAATTGTCTTGGATAGCCAGTCTGAGAATATTATGAGATCATCAAGGAATTATTAGAAGTAGTAGCACTAATTAAAAGGTTATGTCTGAGTCAAATCAATTTATATACAGTATTTATGACTATAAAATTCCACTGTAATCTATAACTTATAACTAGATCCACTTGGAAATTGAAATATTTCAAAGTTCACTAAAAAAATAACAACAATGGTAACATATGTTCACTAAATTATAATACATAATAGGAAACACAATAACAAAATTAAAAAGGTGACAGCAAAATGAAAGTAACTAAAGAACCATTCACAATACTTATAATAGCACTTAGCAACAAAGCAAACAACTTGTCAATTTTGTTATTGCTCTAATTTTGACACATTGACATGTGTTTTCGGTTACTCATAATGCTAATGTGGCTTAGATTTTTGTAACACATGCTTTGGTACACAACACTCATGATTTTTGCACACAAGACTGAGTGGAAGAATATCTGAGTAAAGCATTAAGTTAGGGACTTATTTTATTGGCCGGAGTATATTTCATGAGCTTGAAGTGAGAGGTTGAGGACAGACATTTTGAAGAAGGTACATTTTTTTTTTTATTAATCAATGTCTAAAAAGTGATCTTATATAATATACATTTTGGAGATGAATATCCTGTGATGTTGCTGATAGTTTTAAAATTTTCCAAGGATTATTTATTGTGTTTCATGGAAATAAAGTGTAAAATTGGGCTTGACATTTCATTGTGAAGAAGTGGTAGTAAGAGTTGATATGTCCCTTAGTATTTAGATAAATACCATCACTGTGAAACCCACACAAATACAGGATGAAGAGTTAGAATTTTGTTAGACCTCTCCTCACATGCCAATCTCATAAACTGACCAAACCCATGCTCACCCTCTTTCCCCACCCACCGTGTGTATAGAATAAGTTCACAACTTCACAAATTATAGATCTTTCTTTACTCCTATTTGGACAAGCACCTTTTCAATTTTAAGTTTTAAATATATTTATACTTTTCGAAGGACTGGAACAAATTATTACCATATTTTTTAAAAAGAAAGATTCTTACTGTATCCAAATCTGGATCCCTGTATGGAAATTGACTCCCTAAAATTGTGTAGTCCTCTGGATTATCACACATGATTGGTGTATAATTATCTTCAGCAAATATAGCCGTGAACACATCAACCCACTGATCAGACAATATGACACTGTATCTATCTCTGATAAATAAAACATTTTATACATTGGTGAGAAAACATTTCCGTGCACGACCCTATAAATAATAATCAAGAGCAAAGTTCATATAAAAAATTTACGGGTCAACACTTACCTCATTTCCAGTAAAAGTTCTAGCAATCTCCCCACACTAAATCCATAGCCCTGGAGAACGAGAGAGAGAGTAAAAAGTCATGTGAAACCATTGTTTGTTAATACAGATTTCAAATAGTAAAAATTCCAAAGCATTTTAGAATTCAAACAACCTAAACACAATCTAAATTAAAATAGCTGAAAAATTAAAGAAACAAAATTACCTTTAAGGTGTGACAAAAGAGAACTATCAATTTCTTGACCTCTAACATCAAATTTGCTAATTTACAGGATTGCTGAAAATAAAACAGTCACATTTAGAAGAATTTAGAAATGTTTCAAATATAATTTATATTTTAGCTCAGAAATATATTGCCCCCACATTTTTAAGATGACATTTTCATTTATCTCTTTAAATAATCATAACATAATAATGGTGAAATCATATATATAATATAAGCACTGTTGCTTTTAACAGTTGTCAATCATTTATTTATAAATATTTTAAACTTTAAACAGTAAGTTCTTAGTGGGGAAAATAAATAGTTTTAATATTTGCAGAACTAAATATTTATATTAGATATCAAGTTTAAAATGAACATGTTAATTTTTTCCTACACAAGCAAAACAAAATAAAAAATGTATTATTCGTTATAATATATTAGCTTATATCTTTAAATAATATACTTAACATAAGATTCAACATTTCTCTTATAAAACTCAACAGTTATGTTAGTGGTGAAAATTGTATAACAACAAATTATCTATAATCAAGGATGAGGGTTATAAATGATAGCTGCAGTTTTATAACCATGTAATTCCAACAATATATAAACAAAAAAATAATATAGTATAGTAACTATTTTTTTGTGTGTAAAATACAAAATAATTTTATTTGAATAATTATTTTTTGTTTAAAGAGTAAAGGATTAAGGTTTGAATGAATAATTATTTTAAAATTATTCTCCATTACATTTTATATTAAATATTTTTTAAGTGCATAATGCATCAAAACAATTTTTAAAAGGATTAGTTAATGAGAAGCTGATAAATAAATCGTATCGTATGTAAATATTTGGCCATAAACACAATGGACAGAATTAAATAGTGAATTATGAATACAAGCAAGCATGTGTTTAATATATCAAATATATATAAATAAGCAGGGAGTAGTAATTCTTTATAAGGGGGTTGGACCACAATAAAGTTTAAATAGATGAAATATGCCAACAATTTGTAAAAGTTAAACAGTAAAATTTTTACAAAAATTAATTACTAAGTCTAAGCCCTTCACTTTTTATTAAATGGGTACATACGTAAATTTAATTTAAATTCTGGAGGAAAAAAATTCTAGCCAATGCATTAGCTGAAAGTTCTATTTTTATTTTAGTCTTTTTATCAAAGCATAATTCAACTCAAAAAGCATGATCAAGGTTCAAGGAGAATATCCAAGGAAATTTCACATTAGACGAAGCCTAGGACATGGAGACTCACTGTCTTGTATGCTATTTAACCTTACATTAGAGAGAGTTATAAGAAGCATACATATTGACACACAAGGAACAATAACAGGATACTTTCTGAGGGAAACTCAAAACCCACAACCACTGGGCACTCTCTACAATCAACCCCTTCAGTATCTTGCATACGCTGATGGCAAGTATTAAAGACATATCAAAATCCTTTATTGAAGTAAAAACATTACAAAGAAAACTATTTATAGAACTGTAATCGGACCAGTTGTAACATATGCAAACAAAACCTGGACCGTAACAAAAATGGCAGAAAATCTATTAAACACATCAGAGAAAAAATATGAAGCAAAAAAGGATGAATATGGATGGGAATAGCTGGGCATGCATGTTATATTTTTTCAAGTCTCTGCATTGCTTAATGTTTTACAGGTTATTTTGAACCTTACCTCAAGTTTAAATAATTATGATAAATGATTCAGGTTAATTTTGTGAGTTCACATGCAAGTTACTGAGACAATAGCGTCAGATTCTTAGTATGTATCCTTTGAAGACCTGACCCATGGTCTTTACCACCTACTAACATCTTATGGGAGGTGGCAAGGCATTAGGCATGGTAAAACAGGGGTAAAGGTTTGGTCATTAACCTCCTGATACTCATTTTCCTCCAAGTTACTGCTATCTTCAGACACAATGCTGGTAACTTCACCATTCTCTTGGAAATATTCAAGCTGTTTCTCCTGAAATTGTTAACTATGGAATCTTACACATCAGTAATAACCTTGTTTCTAAAATTGGCCACTAAGGAATCTTTCAAACTTGTTCTCCGCAGCAAAAAAAAAAAAAATTACTTACCATAAAATTAGAATTTTTTTTACAAAAAATTGATTGTGTTGTGTTGATATTTTAGGGTCTTCAAACCATATTAAGGATCATTTTAATAAGGCACTGAATTTTAAAAATTAGACTTTAGGTTTCAACTACATTGTCTGTTATCCTTTTAAGAAAAGGCAAGATAGATACTTGGAGTTAGTAAAGAGAAGCAATAGATGAAGATTTTTTTAAATTTATAGCTTTGAAGTTTCACGCCAATAGATATCAGAACACTGACAAAGTAAAATAGGAAGTAAAGTTAATTTATTTTTATGAAAATGTAGATTTAATTTATACATACATTTTATATAGCTCTAAATAATATTAATAATATTATGAAAAAGTATTGCAATGTTAATAAGTGTTTAAAGTTTAATTTAAAGATGAGCTCCTTTGAAATGCTGGGAAGTTTGTTTTTTTGATAACTCATCACCTGGTTAAAACTTTACCATTTCAGAGAACCAATATAAGTTAATATAAGTCAATAGCATTTTAAGACAAAAAGCTCCAAAAATGATTAGTAAGAGCAAAACCGTTAAAAATATCAGAGCAGCTCAAGTTTTACACACAAAGAAACCCTGCTTCACTTGAAGTTAACTTGTTATAGCACTACAGGTGGATACAGTAATAGTGCCTTTCTTCAAATTAGCAATTAATAGTTCTAGCATTATAGCAAAGGGAAATATCAAAAACCGTATCCGGAAATTTGTTTGAAAGAAATTTCATTGATGGACATTTGATGGAACGGAATTTCTGTCAAATTTTTTGTTCAGTACACACGATCAAATTTTTGTCAAATTTCTTTTTGAAAGCACTATTCTATATAGTAAAACAAGGAGAAATTAAAAGCAAAATTAAATCGTGTGAACTGAAATTCGACCAAACTTCGGTCGACTAAATTACAGTTCAAACAAATTTCCGGTAACCATCAAAAACAACAACATCAAATTTACATTGAGAAAACATAATAAAAAGGGGTATATTGAATTCCCTCAAAATTAAAGTTAATAAAAAAGAGACTCACCCATGTCGACCTAAGTGTGCCACTGAGCTTCTCCACTGCCTTTTCCCACAGCTCATCCATATGTGATCTTGTAACAAGCCCTTGCGTTGTGTGTAATATGTGATCCTCCACAACAAAAAAACTGAATGGAGAATTTTATTTGTTAATCATTAGCTTTTTTTTCTCCTAAACAATCAAAAAATAAAAAGGACTTTCTATCAAAGGCAAGTTTCAAGTTAAACTTAAAACGCAATTAAAAAGTAGATTATAATTTAACATTTCTTAAAAAGCATAACACAAAGAAAAGCTGCGTAGAAGAGAAGATGAGCCAAAGGATTCCAATTGAATCTTGATGAAATTTAAAAATCTTTAATTTTTATTAATTTTAGACAATATTTTCTGCGCAGCCTTTCTTTGCATAAAGCATTTTAACATTTTAAAAATTATTTTCCTCTTTTTATGCATTGAAAATTTAAACTCATCTTGGATAGAACGTTTGTTTTTTTAACTTTTTTATTTGCCACTTTTTAAGTATTATCGACACTCTATAGTCATCACAAAACACACTATGAATCAACCACAAAGGTAAACCACAGCAAGATGGTAACATGTGATTTCCCCATCTCTCAAAACCCCACCCTTCTACCTCTAACCTGCAACCACAGCTCGCTCTCTCCCCTACCCACCCTTCTCCTGCTGTTCACTGAATGAAGCAGACATGATGAACAACTAGAAACTGAGAGATACAGCCAAGTGTGTCAGCAAAAAAATTACGATATGAAAACAAGATGGAAATGGGAGTAGAAAGAAAGTCTTTAAAAAGAGCATATCACTGGCAAAATGTATACTCTTTTAAAAAGGGGAGAAATGGGCAAAAATGTAAAAATTTGAATATTTTTTTCTTATTATGTATTTGGTATCATTAACCATTTTCTTTGTTAAATTTTTATATTTGTTTTTACAAAAGTAAGTTACAAAATTTAAAAAATTACAATTTTCCTGAACCTATCAATCAGCAAAATGTCAAAATTGCCACATTGTATAGTGCTTTCAGCTCTTTGTTATGATTATTTGGAATTGACCAATCCCAATGTATTTGGTGTGGTTGGAAAACTGGTTAATTGCCGGTTTAAAATAAATATAGCTTTCCATCATAAAGAAAATTACGGAAACAATCAAACCTTTCAATCACCTGTCCAATCTAGCAAAATTTGTTATTTTCCTGACCTACTTTGTGTATCACGTAATCTAGCCCTCACCATTGAATAAAATAAGCATTTTGATTGGTTCCCGCTCAGAACTCGGTTTGTAATACCTACAGTCAGTGTAAACAATCCGTTGCTAACTTTAATTAGGCCTAGCAATTTTGATACATCAAACGTAATTTGTTGCAAATAAAAACATATGAGGTGGTAAAAAAAACTAAATCAGTAAATACACATATCAAATGGGTTTGCTTTGATTAATTGCCATGAAAAACATGATTAATTCTACTTCCAGATAGAAAAATACCATGCCAATAATAATTCATCATCATCATCACATCCCTTAGTCCTTGGACCGTTGGGGAACCACAGATGACATGTGAACTATCCTCCTCCATTCGTCTCTGTCTTCTGCACTACGCACAGCATCGCCCAGTGTTAGTCCTGTCCACTCTTTGATGTTATCCTCCCATCTTTCTCTTTGTCTTACTCTTCTTCTCCCTCCTCTTGTGGTGCCCTACAATATTTCTATCGCAAGCCCTTGTTTTCGTGTTACATTGCCGTACCATTGTAATTTGCGTTTTTTCACAGTCACAGGTAGGGCATCGCCTTTATTTTCCTTTCAAGATCGGCTGTTAATGTCCAGGATTCGCAGGCATACAGGAAAATGGAGAGGACTAATGAGCGCATCAGCCTGATTTTGGTGCTGGGGGCTATAGTTCCATATTTTCTTGAGCCTCTTTAGTGCTGCTGTAGTCTGCGTAATCCTGGACATCAGTTCGGGCTTGGAGCCTTCTTTTGAGACTATTGCTCCTAGATATTTGAAGCAGCCTACAGTCTCTAGTCTTTCCTCCCCGACGTTAATTTCAGTGGTGATGTCTGTTGTGTTATTTGTCATCATTTTTTACTTTTCGGCACTGATTAGCATGCCGTAGGACAACGAGGTCTTATCGAGACGCTTTACCAGGTTGGCTAGCTCCTCTTCGTTCCCAGCCAGTCCGTCTATGTCATCCGCAAAGCGTAGAATGCTGATTGTTCTGGCACCAATGCTGACTGTCCCTTCATGCGCTTCCAGAGCATCTGACATAATTCTCTCTAGGAAGATGTTGAACAGGGTGGGGGAGAGCAGGCAGCCTTGTCGTACTCCAACCGTGTTTAAGTTCTTAAAGATCAAATCTATTTGTAACTTAGATTCAAATTTAATGTACTGTATCTGTATCTATCATTCTTAAGGCTAGGCCTACACTCACTATACTCATACAATGAATGAATGAAGGCTTATGCTTCTACTTTTTTATTATACTTGTTAGTGAAAGTAGTAAAAATGAAACTTAATTGACAATAGAGTAATTGTGATATTTGACTTACATTGTCCTATATTTATAGCTTTTAAAATGGTAATATTTTACATTTCTTATTTTTCTTATCACTACAACCACTTTTATTTGTCATTAGTATTATTTTATTCAAAAGTAAAAAAAAGAGCCATAACAAATTTTGCTTGAAATACTTGTCAACAATGCCATTTGCTAGTTAGACCTATCATTCATTAATGTCCTTATAGCCTTATATTTTATTGTTGGTAAGCATTTAATAAAAATATTATCTAACAACAAGAATGATTGAGGCGATGTGCAGTGAGTTTTTGGAGCACAACAGAACACAACATGCATTATATTTCCTGTTGATAAACTACACTGATCTTTTGTCTTATTTCATTTAGCCCAAATGACAATTTGTAAATGAAAAAGGAGTGCCCTAATTATGTCTTAAAAAATGTTACAGATTCCTTGTTGCAACATATGTTGGATGCATCGAAATTAAAGTAACCTGAGCCAGAGGAGGCAAGAGAAGACTAACATAGATAACATCACAAGGCTTATAATATGTTATTCAAGGACTAAAAGAATAAGACTGCAGTTGACAGGAACTAATCAATAATTTCCTTGTTTCAACATTGTATATCTATGCAATGTGATTTGCAACATGATTAGTGTTAAAATTTGATTCAGTAAACCAGTTAGATTTTACAATGGTGTGATTGCTCATTATTTTTCTGTCTCACACAAAAAAACCTGTTAATATGCTTTTGGTAAAAAAAAAATGTTGACGCTCAAGAGATTCAAAAGTTGTGAAATAGAAATCATAAAATTTACAACTGTCAATATTCATTCCGTCATTCAAACTCGTAGAACTTACAATTTTTCTACAAGACCAAGAGTTGCATTTTCAGCATACATGGACACTGCCAAATAACTTTTTGGAATTGCATTTTCACATAGGTTAATGTTTTGCACACTTTTATAATGCTGAAATTCTCCAAAATAAGCAAATTATTATTGTTTCGGCAAAAACAGAATAAAAGTTAATTGCAACAAAAAGTTGAGTGGCCAGGAAAAAAGACAAAAGGACCTGGAAAGTGATAAAATATTCCATAACAGGCTAATAAAAGTTCACAGACTAATCTGAAAATAAATATATTATTTTTCTCCGATATTTTCATTGTTATTGTCGTTTTTCTTCGTTATTTCGGTTTTTCCGTTTTCAATATTTTTGGTTACCAACATTCCTATAACTATAACTTTTTTATTTACTATCCAAACCTCACTAAATTTTCAAAGTATGTTCAGTGACCAATAATAAACATTTGAATAACCTAGAATTAAGATAACTATCTAACAAAAGAAAATATGTCAATAAGAATTCACCCACACCCTCTTTTTTTTTTTTTTTTTGAAAAAAAATAGAGTTTCTATTTCTGACCCTTTTGATTTTTAACTAGTTTTTAAATCAAAAAGTCCTGTTTAAAAAGTTTTTTTATTTATTAAATAATCTTTGTTTTTTTTTTTTTTTTTTTTTTTGAAAAAAAATAGAGTTTCTATTTCTGACTCTTTTGATTTATAACTAGTTATTAAATCAAAAAGTCCTGTTTAAAAAGTTTTATTATATATTAAATAATCTGTGTTTAAAATCTGATAGCAATAACTTAATCTATGTAAAAGCCTTAGTGTTTTGAAAAAGCCTTAGTGTTTTGAAAAAACCTTAGCGTCAGTTCACACGGTCAAATTTTCCTTCAAACATTTGATACAATTTGTGTATGAAGCCTTGTATGAAGCCATGTCACAACTTTCAAATCATCATTTGATCAAATTTTGATGGCATGCAATTTATTTTAGTATTATTGCGCAACCTCTATATCACGTGAACAAACACTAAAAATAAAAAGAAGTTTGTCAATCTAGGTCGTGTTTACATCGACCACGCCATGTTATCAAAACAACAAAAGCCTCCAAATAAGAATTATTTACTTAATTTAGAAAAAATTTATAATAGAACAATTAATAAAATAAATGGGCGTAGCGTAGCGCATGATATAATTGAAATTTATTTTTAAATAGGCTTTTTACTTATAAACAATATTACTGTAACTGTAGCACTAGCTGCACTAGGCTGGTCACCAAGTTAGAACTTAATGATAATGTACTAGTTTCTTCTTTCTGCTATGGATAGCATCTGCAACTTTATCTATAAATTTTTCTATCTAGGTCAGCAATTGAGAAAGGTATTTTTTTAAAAAGCAATTACTATGTCTAAACTAACTTTCTAAGTGACTCACTCTGGGAATTCTACTCCACACAACTATCTTGAATGCCGACTACCATCTATTTGTTTTATTCTAGTACTAGGCTAAGTTATAAAAAATAAAAACCATAATATAAGTTAGTTTACATTCAAAAATTGTTAAGGAGCAGGCTTTTTGACAAACTACACTCAGGACAATTTATTTTCAGCTAAAAAATTATATTGTTACAATTATCTATACTTTTATAATTTATATACTGGTACTCTAACTTAAAATCTGCTCTAAACTATGACAGATAATATTTTGGGGAGAGGTAATCTCCTTTTAAAAATAATTGAAAACATATAAGTCCAATCACAGATTTCACAAGAACTCAAAAATTAAATTTGTTAATATTTTATTTAAAATAAGCAGCGCTAAATGATGTTATCAAGAAGCACTGCCATTAGTAGTAGTCTTTCCATATTTTAAAATAGGAAGGATGTCTCAATCATCTTTGACTATAAAGATTCTGTCATTTCATTTTCTTTAAGTTATGGGATTGTGAATGCTTGTCATTGTTGAGGTTAACAATTTCTGAAAGAAACAAAAAGGAATATATTTTATTTATTACCAACATAAATATTTTAAAAATAAAAGATCAAACAACCACTCATTTTAAAGTGTATACATTTATATTTCCAAGTTTTCATACATCACATATATGTTGTTTGATCAATAATGCAGACAATAAAGTAATTGAAATCTGGAATTTTCTAATTTATTCAACCTTTTGGTGGAAAGAGTATGACTAATCAAAAGCCTCCAGATTTGTATGATAGGTTTTCAATTATAAATTATAATAATTATATTTTTCTATATTGAATTGATGCTGTTGCTACCTTTTTTGAGTGGAAATTTGGAGTGGAAACTGATGGATTAGTTTAATAGAAGGAGGGTGGTAAGGTGCCCATTCACACCATCTTAGGGTGGTCACAACCAAAGTGGGGAAACCTTTATATCAAATTTAATAATAATAAGGCCAAAATTTCATCATTAAAATTGCAATCATGTTTTTTCTACTTAACATTTTGATTTATTAGCAGAAAAATAGTTATTTTCATTTAATTATTTTATGGTTATATAAGAGGGTAATAAAATTGGTATCAATGGAGAACACATATGGTAATAAGATTTTATTGTGATATTAACATAAGTGTCATTAATATTTAAGAACTTAACATTTTTTTTACTTAAGCAACTGGCTACAAATGTCAAAATAATTATAATTTTAAAGTATCTTTGTGTATACATTAATGATAAATTAATATATAATATTAATAGAATTGTGGTACTCCCAATAAAACAACTAAGTGCCTGTGGTGAATTTGAATGACACTTTAGAACCAGACTGATGGAAATTTTTTGTTGGATGTATTATTTCTATTGTGCTGGTGAAATTTATTTTTTGATGTACGGTATTATTACTATTAATATTAGTATACTTTCATTATCTAATTTTTTGTCATTATCAATTATAAAAGGGCCTATTTATTAGTATGGTAATGGCTGTATACTATCCTTTTACTATAATTGTGATTAATGTACTACTGATAATACTATAGACTATATTTAATTAAGATTATCAAACTCATAATAGTAGACCTACTAATTGTCATACTCATTGCGATTGCAAAGAATGTTGTTTTGTTTTAATTTGTTTGAAATTTATGTTTATAGTGTTTTTGGATAGGCCTAGGACTAGGATTATAATCCTATATTTGAAAATGATTAGCCAATTCTAAAAAGTAATTTAGGCCCTATTCTGATATTAAAAAGTAATAGATAGCCTAATAAATCTAATCTAATGACTAATTTTATTAAGTAAATAATAGTTGCTATTAATTCTATTAGTTTTTTTTATTCCTTATCCTAATTTATTATAATTCAACATACATTACAGTGTTACATAATAGTGTCTCACATATTTACATAGACAGACTTACATAGACATATTTATTACATAAAATAAATTAATTCATACAACTTTATTTATACTAGACTATAAATATTATACAGTATAAATAATAAAGGCTACATAGAAAATTTGTAGTACAAGTATGATACTTAACTTAATAAGTATATGCATAATAATTTTATTATTTAATATGGCAATTTAGTATTAGAATGTTAATTTAGTATTTAGGCCTACTATTTATACATTTAGTCAATTAGTCACCAGTGGGTCTTTTCAGTTGGATGGAGTGGAAGTGTTATATAAGTTATATTATATAAGTTATATTTATTTTTCATAAACTGCTTAAGCTTCCCCTGACTATGCCATGTCTACTTTGAGTATGAGTACTATGACTATTTTAATTTATAGGCCAAGCATTATTTAATATAAAATATATATGAATAAATAAATTGCGCTTATAGCTTACTAATAGTACTAATAATATTAATTATGGCCTATTTATTATGACTATTACGAGTTAAACTTACCGCTCTTTAAATTTTTATCAGGGCAGTCAGGGCCCATCGTCTAAGCAATCGTTAGCTGCCAGGCTTCTAGTGGTGAAATATAAATTATGCCAAGTTTTTCAGTATCATAAATGGCATTTATCCTTCGAAGTTGTGAGTAGCTTGACCATAACTTGTTTTCAAATATTTTAATCGCAGCGCACTTTACTTGAATCGCTGCCATTTTGATAAATCAGCAGTATGTCACGTGAACGAAAAAATGTCTACAATTGGCTATCGCATCATACAATTGCTTGAACGTGAAAAACGAATTCTCTGTTTTGTCAATGAATCCGCACACAAAATAGTGCCTTCATACACAAATTCCATCAAAGGAAAATTTGATAGTGTGAAAAAAAAAAGTAAAAATGGCTGAGGTTTTTATGCGTTACAAAGGCAATAGAAATGCCAGTAACATTCCTTTACTTTCTTTATTTTGTTCAATTGTATTGAATTCTGTAAACAGTAATAAAACACTAACTCCACATACCCTAAAATAGTAATAGAGTTAAGAATAAGTTGAAGATCCTAGTGCCAAAAGTACTTAAGTGACATTTTTGTCAAAATCAATCTAAACTGTGACAACCAAGTGAACTGCAGAAATTTGAACACATTAAAATGTGCCTTAGTCTCTTAAAAAATAAGACAAAATATGAAAATGATCAACTTTCACTTGCATAGATGAAAAGAAAATTTGAACTTGATATCTCAAAATGTGTATTTTTAGTTTTAGCACTAAGGTCTTCAAATGCACATACCCTATTATATCATGAAAATACTTCTTGAATAAATCCAGACTTTCGTGCTGCAAGAATAGGAAAGAAATAAGTTATTTTACATGTGAAATGATTATGTTCATGTTGCAGAAGTTAAAAGTTTAAGGAAAATAATATTTAAACATAAATAAAAAAATATTTAAAAACGTTTAAATATTTTATTTTTATTTTTAAACACTGTATCATTTGACTCTTGTTTAATGCTCTTTTAACAAAATATTTATTAATCCTAACCACACAAATTTATGACTGACCATGTTTGATGGGGGCTGTAATGAGAGCCTTGCTTGTTTCCATCTTTGGGATCTATAATAGCTTTCAAATTTTTCTTTATCTCCCTGAAGGATAACATATTTTCAAATAATGTTTTTGAAACCATGGTGTATAAAAAACATATTTTCAAATAATGTTTTTGAAACCATTAGTGTATGAATGAAAAATGTCTAATAAATTAGAATAATTTTAACAAAATATTAATCATATATTATATTAATATTATTATTCATGTTAGGTAATAAAATTTATATTTAAACAATTAATAAAATGTTATAAATCATTTGCACCTTCTAAATTTTTTAATATAAAATTGTTTTGACTACAATAGTCTAAAACAGAGGTCAGCAAACTCCAGCCTTTAATTGGCAAACTCCATATCTGGCCTATCTAGTATTCCAATCCAGTTTTTATTGCAGCCAGCCTAAGTGAATTTCCATTTTGTTCCCTTTTATTACCACTGCTCGCAACTCAAGCTGTGGCACTCATGTCAGGCACTTGTATGAAACATAATCCCCTGACTGGGGAGGGATGATGACTGTTGTGTTGTAAATAAGTTCACTCTCTGGTGCCATTTCATTCACCTCTCACCGGGGTCAAGGTGTGTGTTGTGCGCATGTCTGCTTACTGTGCCAAGCAGAGATATTCCAAGAATGAAGAATGGGAGCACAGACAACCATCCAATTAGAACACTCTGCAACTTTATTTCATGGGCATATTACTGAAACCAAGTTCCCGCACAGTAACCCCAATTACTGTGACTAAAGAGCAGAGGCAACGCTACCAGTCTCCAAAATGTTGACCTTTTTTCTTCAACCTCAAATGAATTGATGAATTATTCTTCGCCAAACTCAGCAACAAAGCCGTATGTTTAGCGTGCAACAATACCACTCTGCAATTTCAAGTGGTGACATTTGAGGGACATTTCATCATCATGTTTCCCATTTGTAGTACTGAATTTTTTAATAAAACCTCTGGTCTATGAAAAGCAGATTTCAATATGGTCAAGAAAAGAAGGTTTCAGCTAAAATCAATATTTTATTTTTTAAAATCCTACTGCACAAAAAGAATTTTAATTACCATAGTAAATTTTTAAGTATATTTTATTGTATTGATCCCATATCTTTTTTATAAGTTACCGGTACATTTTCACACGGTTTTTTTATAAACATGTAAATGATTTAAATAAATAAATGTTTGGTTGACTTCATTGTTTTTAGAAAAAACATATGTTTTTTTTATTTTACTCTCAAAGTACCATTCAATCAAAACTGATCGATAGATTATAAATTGATTTTTTTCTGACCTTTTTTCATAACTGCTTTTTTTTAACTTGCAAATATAATTTTTTTGCATAATTTTTTTTTAAATATAAATTTTAAGCTTAAATTAAGATTTTTAATTTTTTAAAATTTACTCCGTGCATCGTTTCAGTCTTCTTCATGTTGCGATTCTCGTCCGTCATTTTGCCAATCCTGTGAAACTTCACTGCAGTCTGGTTGCACAAAATCTGACATATGCACCAAATATATCTTCCACCGTCGAATTTGATTATATTTTAATACAAAATGCGATACAAGACTGATAAAAACAATAATAAGGCATGACTGGTGATGATTTTGTGTATTTTCGTCTGAACGAAAGTTCAGTATCAGTTATTTTTTTTGCTTCTGCCTGTTTGTGGTATGTTTACATTTTTGTGTAAATTTAGCACACCTAGAAACCTTATTTTTTGGCCATAAATAAAAACCATAATTAACTGTGATCTCATAATTGGTTTCAAATAATAGATCATTCAATTCTGAATCCAATGATATAAAACATGTTATTACTGCTATGTTCTTCACTGAACTACTAGCCAGATTGTAAAAGTACCTAATGAGAGAGAAAAAAATAGCAGAAAACCAAGAATATTTGAGAGTTAAAGTACACTTAATATAAGCAATATGCACATGCTTTCATAACATTAAAGCTTGTTTTTAAATGTGTATTGATAAAGACCTTAACCTTTTTAAGATGCTTAAAAGCAACAAGACAAGAAACTAAAAATATCAAGACTTGATAAAAACATTTAAATATCAGCAACTCATTTTCAAAAAAAAAAAAAAAAAGTAATGGCGTATAAATAAGAATTTAAATTTATAAAAAATTAAAGCTTGTTTTTAAATGGGTATTGAAAAAGACCTTAACCTTTTTAAGAAGCTTAAAAGCAAAAAGACAAAAAACTAAAAATAACAAAAATTGATAAAAACATTTAAATATCAGCAACTCATTTTCAAAAAAAAAAAAAAAAGGTAATGGCTTATAAATATGAGTTTAAATTTATAAAATTACACATGTGAAGGACTCACCAGCAAAGAATAGATGTGCAAACATCTGTAAACTGGTGAAAAGTCAACAAGGTCCTGAGCACTCAATTCCTAGCAAACAATAAAAAAAATAATTAATTGAGCTATCCAACATCTGGAGAAAATTTGTTTTATAAGTCCGTTTTATAAAAAAGATACTAAATGACTGAATTAAAAATAATGCAATTTTTCTTTAAAAATTATTGCACAAAATTCTTTGATAAGATCAGCACTGACTGACCTCTTCCTTTTCTTCACTCTCATTAGATGGAGCTGGGGGAACATACTCTACCTCCCCTGTAAAAGGATTTGGAGGTGGAGGTGCCCTTCTTGTCTTTACTCTTTTTTTTGCTATGGAAGGATCCATATTATTTTGTTCTGCAGCCTGAAAAAAAATTAAAATTTAATAACAGTTATACAGTTAGTTCAACCACATCATATTGTAATTTAAGAGGCGTCAAGTCAAACCAAAATATATTTAATTTATTACTGATCAAGATATCTAAACTGAGCCACTCACATGTCTCATGGCAACCTCTCCAATCTTAGCAGAGTGTTTTCTAATGCTTTCTAAGAAATCTTTGAGTTCTGTCATTGAGGCTTCTTTGATTCTCTCCCTTAGCCTTGGAATAGCCTCTGACATCGTTTGTGAAAACCAATGGTTCATTACCCTTGGCAGGTAAGTGTGTTCCAGCTGCTCTAGAGTTTTTAATGCTGGATAGTATCTAATAAAAATTAAATTGAGCAAGACCATTATCTAGAAGTTTAAAAGTGATGTGTACATAAACAGCAAAGATGAAAATTCAACATGTTAGCTAAAAGTTTGAAATGTACTTAAATTTTAAACTACATGAATTTTTATGGTCTCAAAAAGTTTGTCAAAAGCTAATGGATAAATGACAATAATAAAACAGCTTAAAAGATTAATGTGGGGAAAAAAAAAAAATTTGCATAACCTATTAAAATGTTACATAATTACCTTTTATCTTTCATTTGCTCTTGAAGTTTTCCATACATTTCTAAAACTAAAATTGATAGAGTAAAAGACATTGCTTAGCTAGTTGCTTTAAAGAATTTTAAATAATCTTAAAATGGAAAGAAATCATTCGGAAATGTAGGCACACAAATTATTATATTTAAATTACCTATAATCTATAAGATATAAACACTGTAAACACTATAGCAACTAACCTGGTAGACACAAAGACAAACATTCCATCGCAAGAGTAATATTTTTCTGGATTTTGCGACATTTGACAAGTTGATCCCCTTTGCTCAGCAAAGGGTCACATGATAATTGAAGTTCTCTGTTCAAGCCATGAATTTCACCCTAGATGGTTGATGGTTAAAAAAATGTTTTTGAATTCTAATCATTTCCCATACTTTCACTCAGACACCTTCAATTCCCCCCCCACCCCCACAATCAGTGACACACCAGCACTTTTTTTAATATAAAAAAAAAGAACTTTGAATGAATATGTAGTCTTTGTAGTATGGTGGGGTCAAACTCAAACCAGGCAGCACAATGTCTTGCCATACGACTGATATATAGGCCTATACTATATATCGTTTATTGAGATCATTTTAATCAGCGAGTAACTTCACCTAGGGGTGGGGTAGGGTTGGGACGCTATTGTCACCAAATAATCTCACTCCCAAATTTGCTGAAAATGCACTGCCGTTATTAATCAAAATAGTTTAACTTTCAATCTAAAGCTCTTTTATCAGGCCCTTCCGCTTGGGTGCTCATCCACAAATATATATAAGTCTACAAACAATTTTTTGGTACCAAAATAGTACCAGATATTTAAAAGTATAAACATTATTATTTTTTTAAATAACTTTCAAAAGGATTTGAATGTATATGAATAAAGACAGTTTTAATTAGTGAGTTATCTTGAAGTTTAAATTATATAGTTGAAGTTGAAAATTTTGTTTTTTTAAGAATTGTTAGCTTTCATCATCATCATTCAGATCCAATGGCCATTCGCCTTTGGCTTGCGGCCATGGTGAAGAACTTGTTCACTCTCTACAGTTGTTTTATATTTGTATATAGGATTTTGGTATAGTTAACCATTTTTCATAGGCAGTTTAGGTGTAAGTTCTGAAGTTCCGGGTAGTGAGTTGGCTCTATAGTTTTGTTCCAGAAAGGTTTATATTTCCTTCTGCTACCTCTTGAAATACTTAGGAAGGCAGCTTCTAATATGGCTTTGGTTATTTTTTTCCTAGACTTTTCTTGTGGTGTTGTTTTGGAGGATGCCACTAAGTACTTCATGGCTTCTTGCTTAATATAAATCCCAGTTTGCTTTTTGAAAATCCAGCCTGTTGTTTAAAATTCTTTAGATTTGGTGCTGTTAGTGTCATGAGAATGGGTCTGTGATTGCTACCTATGCTGTCCAGCACCTGCAGTAATCTGAAGAGAGAAGGGTCAGATCAGGTCTGCTACATGTGTTATGAGCTCTATGGAGGAGAGTGAGTGTCAACTGTTGGTACTATATAGTGAATAGATTTGTACATTTATTCAGTTCCTTAATTGCCTTTCTAGTGTTATAATTTAGTATCCCCATTGTGGGGATTGGATGTTCAAATTAAAATAACCACCAATCACGGTCTTGGAGTATTGTGTGCTCTTAGGTGGTCAAAGTAGCTGTTTACTAAACAGCAGCTTTTGGATATCAGTTATCTGATGTCTGGAGATTGCCTCAACATCCCCCTGGATGTCATTTCTTATGTAGGTGATGATGCCCTTACAGTCATTGCACTTGCAAGTGCAATGAGTATACCCTGTGATGTGTGGGTCTGTATTCTGGTGTTAAGTTTTTTGTAGTAGTATTATAATTATATGCACTTGTTTCATGTTCAGGGTGGCTATCTCTAATTTTTTTTTTTTTGATATCCGCAAACGTTTATGTGCAAGATATTTAAATGTGCTTGTCAGTAGCGAATTTTTATGAACTGGCTCTGTGCGCTGCTGAGCAACGTTTACCTTGATAGACTAGGCAATGCCCAAGCTCGAATGTATATCTTTTTGTCTTCATCAACATAGTTTTACTGGTTTTGTCTGTTGCTTTTCTTAAACCCAGATCCAGAAGCTGCATACCCCCATGTCTCCATGCAGCGATTAAACACTGGGATTGCCATTTACCAGACGGAAGTCCTTAGTGTTGCATCATGTCCTAGAGGCAGGATTCACAATTTGCCCATTCTCCACCCCCTACTGTATTCTGGCACTCTATTTTTCATTGCTGGTTTAGGCCATTTAGTACTAGACAGAGGATTGTCATGTACTGGGTCAGCTGTGGCAGTGTGAGGACTTTTATGATCCACCTGACCTTGCAGTGCATTACATTCCATATCACAACTGGTTAAATGCTATGAGGATACAACTTCTGGATCAACCACAGGGGGAGCATTGAAAGAAGGAGGATGTGGGCTAGAAGACACCTATTCAAGGGAGTGGTGGGGCTGGGTTAGTTTTACACTTTGCTCGGGGGGGGGGGGGGGGTCAACCTCCCTCCAAAGGTCCAGTTACATTGCTGGATGTTGGGTCACAACTGAAAGTTCTCTGTTAAAATAGGGAGAACCCATACAACATTAGCAGCAGTAGTACTTTCACCAAGACGTTCAATCAAACACATTTAGAAAGGAGAGGTCATATTTCAGAGGTATCCAGAAATGCTTTAGATGAGGCAGCATCTGGTATATCTGTGTAATCACTACCTCTAAACAGGAATAAGCCAATGTATTTATGATTATGCAATCATTTTATTTTAAAAATTCTGAGTAACATAATTTCTTTTTCTATTAATACAGTTACCTTGAGCTTTGTTGCATCACCACTGACTTGCTGCAGCTCTCTAATTGAGTCAATGAAGCCCTGATAATGATAATTACACATACGCTCGATGTCATGGTCGTGTGCTTTGATCCGTGAATCAAGCTTTTCCATGAAATATGCCACATCCTCCCCATCGTACACAGCTCTGTTGAGGAGAAGTCATTCATTGCTTTAAAAATTGAAAACCAAACACAAACTGTGACAAGCCATGGGTAGTTCAAAGTTAGACCAAAAAATACAGACCAGTGGTCAGTACGTTACACAATGACAAATAAACTTGTACTTGTACACAGTTGACAAGCGTCACAATTTATGGATTATTTTTAAGTCCATTTTTTACATTTAAATATGCCCCTTCAAACAATATTACTAAGTACTAGCCAATACACTCGTCGTTGCCTGGGATTGCATTCTGAAAAAACTTCTACTTCCTTTTTAGCTGCCATCAAAATTAAGGGCCCTATAAAAAAAAAAATTGTAAATGTTCTCCTATAAAAAAACACAAGCATAATAACTAACATTTTAGGGCTACGCTTTTTAATTAATATTCAAGCTGGGCCTAGCCAAAAACCATGATTTACAGTCTAATCAAACTATATAAAACTTGTCCCATAATTTGCTGTGTTCAAAACATTGTTATGGGCAACCATTCAGTCACTTGCATATTTCTGTACATAACATTATTAAGATAATAGATTATAAAGTACATAACAGTATAATGGACACCGTAGACTTGGTAGGTACTGTAATGAAAGTTTCAAAACATTTTTAAAAATATAAAAATACTACAGTTGTATAAAGTCAAGATTACAGAAACACAAAGATCAACTTTCTAGCTCAAGTGGTTCAAAAGTTATGAATTTTTTTAGTAAGGACCTCAAAACCACTTTTTTTTTTACTATGGAGTTTTCCTCCACAAGTGTGACCCTTATTTGGCTTTTGCTTTTACGCCTATAACTTTATTATAAAATGAGATAAACATATAATATTTACAGGGAATGTAGTTAGATTTGAGTTTTACTAAATAAAACTACACATTTTACATTTAGTTATTGTTAATATTCCCCAAAAAAATTCTTTAATGTCTATAATTTTCATTATAAAAAATGTATAAAATATGCTAACTCAAAACTAATTTGTTTTTAATTAATTAACTTTTTTTTAAATATATGTTATGAAATTTCCACAAAATAATAATAATATTCTTAAGATATTAATTTTAAATTTTCTGTGGAATTATTTAACATTTATAAGTATAAACAATACAGGGATTGTTTGATTCATTTTGTTAAAATGTGCGATTATACTTTTTATTTTATCATTTTCTACATATGTATTTTATTCCTAAATTACTATGAAAAAACAATTAGTTTGTCATTTATTTTAAGTTCTAAATCTTGTTTTAAAAATCAACATGTATTGTTAGAACCAACTTTGGTGGTTGATAGAAATTAATATAATTTCTAGTCATTTGCTTGAGGTGAGCACAAGCTTTTATGATTGAAAGTGGGTTTTTTTCTTTGACAATACTAAGGATTATATAATAATTCTCTTGTGGAATATTGTGATATGTGATTAAATATTGGATATTTCAAAACCAAAGGTAAGTGAATATTTTTCAAATTTCTACTTAGCCTATGTCTTAAGAATCATAATATTGATATTCATTAAAACATAATTACATAGCCTAAAATATAATTACATATAATTTATTATAATAGTCATAATAGGCCCTACAAATAATAAGTCAGGTTGGGTCTCGACCTATACTATAATTTAGTATACTATGTATTATACTATGTCTATACTAGGCCTATATTCATTATATTTATATATTTAAATATACCTGTATATAAAATAATATAAATAAATTAGTTGTAATAAAAGCTATTTATCCCACTCCATAAATCATTTATAATAGTATAATTACTATCATAATATTTTTACTAAGCCTATCTTAGTCTCAGACTAAGTCAAAGACAAGTGCTTATTCATCCCATGTCAGCCATGTCCATGGCAATCAACCCCAAAATTAAAACCAATGATATTTCATAAGCCAATAATTATTATTTATGTTATAAAACATTTTTTAGTTATATACAATGATTTATGCTCTGTTGTCAGTACGGAGAAATTAATCTCTTATTTAGATATATGGCTCGTTCTAAAACAGTACACAACAAAAGATGATACATACAATAATAAAGAAAAACGATACCTAAACTAAGGCTAGTCACAATTAATAAATTTTATTAAGTTAATAATGAATTAAAAAGTCAAAAAGAAAATAAATTAACTTACAGTATATGATTGGCTTGTACCGGTACAATGTTGAAGAAGATACAATGTTGTAAAAGGTACAATGATGAAAAAGGAATCTTACATACACATCTCTATCGTAGTAGTGCTTTCCCAAAATAACTCTCTCTTCCTTTTATGGTCTGTTTTCATGATATTTCTAGAAAGGGCTTACACATTGTTTTCCTTTCCTGATTTGTCTAGACTTTTCTACAGAATTCTAATAATACAGGCCATTTTATTTAGCTGTAAACAAGGTCAAAGAGACTTTTATTTAGCCACACCCTAAATTGCGGTTCCCAGCTTGGGGTCAGCTGGAGTTCATTCACGGGGAAAGATGACATAAACACGCTTCTGCATAACAGTCATATTTCCCATTTATATTCTGGATAACCAATTTAATAAATTATTAAGTACCCCATGACCGCTATTGATAATTGTTGATGTGCAGTCACGTACAGTGGCCATGATGACAAATTATATAGCCAAAAAAAAGTGACTTCTTAGACTTTTGTTTTTGAAGCATGCCCATGGTCTACACTCATGAATTTTGGATATGTTATAAATGACTTTATAAACTAAATCAGCGCTTTTTATAAAAAAAAGTTATTGATCAGCAAAGTTTACCTATTTTCAACTTCAATTTTCAAAGTTTTAACTTTTAACCTCAAAAAAAAAAATGAAATGAATTCTTAATAGAACAAGCAAGATGTCGGCTTTAATTAATTGGCGGATGTAGAATTTATTATAAAAGGCAAACCAATGATATCCTCAGTAAATTAAAAAGTGGAAGTCGCCATTTAGACATTGAAATTACGATACCTGTTTTTCAGGTATTTCCGGGCAATACAGAAGTGCCTAGACTTGGTAAACAGAAAAGCCATATATTAATATGTTAGTATTACTATATTTTATTAGAATTAGGCCTATCCTAAATTTACTTTGATATCCATAGTCAAAGTTGTTATACATTAATGAAACTGATATCATTAGTAAGGACTCAGTATTTTCTTTCCATTGATACCAATTTTATTTTTCTATCTTAATTAGAAAAAAAGTTATCACATTTTTAGTGTCAGAATTTTTCTTTACTTAGCCTTGGTAAATAATTTCCAAAATTCTGTGATCGAATAAAAGACATCTTTGACACTCAAATGCGATAACTTTTGAGTCAACAAAGTTAAAACTCTGAAATTTGCAGCGCATTGCAATTAAATATTGGGTTTTAATAATAAATCGTTATGCAAATGCAGTAGAACCTGATTATGTCGAGGGCCTTGGGGTTTGCCAAAAAGTGTTGAGATAACAGATGATCGAGATAGCCGAAAACCAATATGGCGGCAATATATTAACAAGTGCTTGAAATTTCTTTATGTACATGATGTGCATTAATAAATGTGAGTACTTCAGTAAAAAAAAAATAATAATAATTTTGTAAATATTACAGTTATTTAGAGAAAATTCCAAAAATGAAACCAGAATCAACTTTTTAACTTGAGTACTTTTTGAGCTACGAGTTTTTAAAGTGCGAGTTCGTTTGGTAATTTCTACTATGGACAAAGCCTTCACATTTTGTGACCTCATTCTGCTGATCGTGTCTAGCGCAATGACTATATAGTTTATAAAAGGCAACGAATCCCCTTATTACTAAAATAGTATTTAAGGACTACTTATTTCGAACTTTCAACTTTGGCACATGACTATTTCATTAAAGCTTTACTTGACCAATGGTTTAATAGATTTTGCACATGGCAAACTCTTAAGACTGAAACTCTTAAGAAATAACACCGCATAGCCATTATGCAAGTGACCGTGAATGGCTCCCCATGAAAGCGTTTTGCACATTGCAAATTATGATCATTTATAATATGAACTCTACAGGGTTTTAAATCCTTGAATTAAAACATATTTATTTAAATTACTTCTAGGTTCATTCTAAAACACTAGAAATTTGATAAATAAATAATTATTTTTAATTATGAAAAACTTGTTTTTTTGTTGTTAGCTATTTATTCTTAAGTTCAAAAGCCAGCGATTGGTCATGGGGATCGAGATAACTGGCGAGTTAACCGAGGTCGAAATAAGCGGGTTCAACTGTACTACAATAAATATATTAATACATGGGATTTGAACAGAGAATAATTTAATTAAAAATGTAGCGCCTGTTCTCAATACTCAAAATGCCCTAACTTTTTTACGTGTAAAGTCCTTCAAATTTTCAGTCTAGTTTAATTAGGTATTGGGCTGTAATAATAAGCCATTTTAATATTAATACATCAATAAATGAATTAAATCAGTGGTATTTGAGCAACAGAGAGTGAGTAAATTTAATTTTAAAATGTAGCCTTTTTGTGCATTAAAAATACAAATTGCATAAATATTACCAATTCAATTATTGAGTTTATGCATACAATCATCTAGTGAATTATTACTACTGTGAATAATTCCACAGAAAAGATTATAAAATAATGGATAATAATGGATAAGTTGCATTGAAAAATGCTAATCACAAATGTTATATCCAATCATCCATTATCCAACCCATGAAATTGATAATCCAAGTAGCCATGCTATTAGATATCCACAGTACAAATGATGATCACTTAACATTAGTACTTTTATAGTTCACTGAACGGCTGTATAAAAGAGATATGTTTTCTTTCATAGAAAGATGATGGTCAAAAGTAATATAGTGGCCGAGTCCTTGGCAATCTTGATCAAGTTTGTAACGGTTAAAGATACCATTGGTAATGGTTCAGTTTATGACATAGATGAATGGAGTCCTGAGTATAGATACCATTGGAATACCATTCCAAAAATGGTTTACTTTGTGTCAATATTGTTGATTCGACCCATCATGATGATAAATAGGAGTCCCGAGTGTATAAATTGCCAAATAAATGCAGTTGATGATGAAATATATCAATAGCTGTTAAGGTTATGCTCTGATGGTCAATATTGTGGTGGATCGTTCAGTTAGACATTCAGTCACACCTGATAGGTTTTCAATAAAACTGGAAAGACCAGTACAAAAAGTTAAATTGTTCACGCAGACAAATTTTGGCAGTAGAGACCATATTCCAGAAAAGTATCAAGAAAAGTTTTGCTGAAGAAACACTTGGCACAGCTGGGCGGTCAGTACCTCTAGCAGGAGAAGCATTATCTTCCACTTCATCGCTACTCAAACTCCTTGTAATTATATGTGGGTCTCGTAGTCCAGACAAACTGAAATAGAGATAGAAATTCATTTTAATTAAAAACAAAATAAGCATTGTAACATAAGCAGACCTGTTCACCCTAAAACTATTCAAATCATACAATATCATGACAAAATGGTTCAATATATTATCTTAATAGTAAAAATAATAAACATAAAGTATATATAATGTATACACCTCAAAATCGTACATTGTAATTGTATGCCAAAATCGTAAGAGTTAACAGATCTGCATAAGTAACAAAAGGTAGCTTCTATATTTGAATTTTATATATATTTAATTTAAGTAAAGATTGTGTATTTCCGTACAATAGTTTTGTAATTAAATTATTTATTAATTAAGACAATTGGTTTTATTTATCCTGTCTTTCCAGTATAGATATAATATTGTGATGTTCTAACATTATTTTTATTCAGAGTAAGCCAAGTATTTATTAAATAGGGAACATTATTCATCGGATATAAATTTACTTACATAAAAAGGTCTTGTAGTTTTGAGTCCTCATTATAGCTCGTCCAAATGAAATAGACAGGTGTGAATCGTAGGTAGCGGTCGCTCTAGAAGCAAAAATCTTCATAGTGCCTCCAAAAAGGGGTGGTGACAAGGCTGTATTTTTGAAAGAAAGAAAATGCTGAGACCTTTAAGAAATGTTAACATCAATATTTGTATACAAACTACAGGCTCAGCTGTTATTTTAAAAATAAAGTTATTCAATGACCAGAATTAAAGACCGGACTAAGCCTGAAAAGTCAAATATAATAGCTTAGAACTAAAGCTGTAAAGCTTAAAAGGGCAAGAAAGGGTATACAAAAAGAATATTAAAAGGGTAGACAGGTTATTTAGAAGATAAATATAAATAAAATTATGTAACTTAGTAAAAATTGACAATGATGTTCAGTAGCTGCTGAGCGTACAAATCACTGGTTATAAAAAATGAGTTTAAGATAAATTATATCAACATCCTTAAAGACATTATTATCCATTACCAAAAATATAATTTACAGTTGGATAGTTTGATAATTATTACAATTGAAACATAGATTTAAATGACTAAAGTTGATTTAGTTTTGTCATGGTTTTCATGAATATAAATTTTATTATTAAAAAAAAATAACTAAATTTCATAGAATATGTTTAAATTTGTTTTCAGTCATAAAATTAAAGCAAATTAAGAAATATAAATGAACTAGATGACTTTAAAAAACTATGGATAAATAAAGATTTTAAAAACTTATTATGTAATAATAAAGTAGAATAACAAAGAATGGCTTTGCTTAATTGATAACAGGTTAAGAATAATGCTAAATTATACCTTGTCTAGACAATTTAAGTTCTATCTTAATTTCAAGATGTTGATTGTTTCAATTAGTTACGTGTTTCTTACACTGGAAAGAAAAAGAATTAATTGGAAAACTATTATGGTTTCCATATTATAGGACTAGCAAACTTACCTGTTTTCTCAACGAAAGATATCTGCTACTAGCGCTATAAGTCAGTTGAAAAAGTTTATGTTGTTATACTCGTCCTCCACGTGTGCAAAAAACAGGCTAGAAAACCTTCATTGTCTCTCCCTTACGTAGATAAAGGAAACTAGATCTCAATATGACCCCGTGACCTACAGGCATCGACCTTTGATTGGTTTATGGTCTGTTTCCGACATCCGAAAAATCAATCGGTGTGCGCCCTTAGTGATATACCTACATTTACATAGTGCTTAGTTAGATAAGTTACAATTTACTATTTAAATTACTTTTTAATATACAGTGGAACCCCGCTATAACGCGCCCAGCCATAACGAGAATTCGGATATGACGTGGTCGTAGCATGGCTCCCAAAATTTGAAATTTATTTACTCCATCAGTAATAGTTCTTTGAAAATTTTATCCATTGTTTGGAAAGCCATTTTTTAAAGCGAAAAAAAAAAATTTTCAAAATATCGTAGAAAATAAGCCCCTAAACACACCACATTCAAACTAGTACTGTATCAAAATTAATGCCGAAAACGAGACTTTCTTCCGGTAGAACTATAAATAGTAATACGAAAGGGATTTCCGCTGTGCTAAGAACGAAAGTAATCAGTGCATTAACGCAACACGGCTTTTAAGGACCCCGATCATCGCGTTATACCGGGGTTCCACTATAGTACTAATTCTGAAAATAAAAGCTGTAAAAAAATATGGCCAATGCTAAGAGATGGCATTGTGACGTCATTTACGTGTTTTTTTAAGTTTCTATTTTGGATTCACTCGCCTTATTTTTTTGTTAATAGTTACATTTTCATTAATATGACGATGACATGTTTTAATTACATTTTTATTGGTTGATTAATTATAATTTTAAAATTTCATTGGTTGGCTAATTATAATATTTTTAGGTGTTCCTCCATCTTTGAAAATGCATAATTACATGACGGCATGGTGTTTTATTAATTTAGGTACTTTGACAGAAATTTTCAGTATTGTCACACTGCCATAAATGATACATCATTTGCAAAAAGGCCAATTTCATCTTTCTAGCTTTTATAGAAACGAAGTTATGATTTTCTTTTTGAATTTGTTATACCCCCTTATTTATCTTTGTATTTAACTGTGAAAACTTGTGACCCACTTTCCAAATATCTGCTTTATTTTGCCCAAAACTTTTATATTTTAAAAGATAATGCTACCAAATTTTCAGGAGACATTCTTAATGCAATATACAACACAATGAACAAAACAACTTTTAAATAACATCAGTACTTTCTATTTTGAAAAATTTTATTTAAGGGTACCAGTATGTTAAGAAAAATGTGAACAGAAAAGTTGGAAAAATCATTACTGATAGTAACAAGGAAAAAAAAATAACTTGTTAATTGGATTTGAACTAATTATATGCTTTTGTAAAATTTTAAATAAATTCTTATACTTATAAAAAGGTAAGCAGTTTTTCTTTTTCTTTCTGCATGTAATGTAATTATATATAAAAATATGTCAAAACCATTTTTTTAAAATCTACATTCAAAAGTGCCTCCTTGTTCGTTGATGAAGGAATTCCACCGAGTTCTGCGATAGAAAATTTTCTCTTGTATCTGCAAAAGCCTAGAAAAACATCTTAATAATTTCAATCATAATCCTGAATATTCTGAATATACACAATTTCTTTTTAATATAAATTATTAGTCAAATTATGATTATGTGTTTATTATTATTTTAAAAAAATAGATTCTTTTTTATTTTATTAACCATTTTTTTCTAATTCTATGTCATGTCATTACCAGAAATTAACAATATTTTAAATTTTATGATTAAATGCCTTATTTAATTTTAAAATACTATTTCTATTTAGGTTTTAATTGCATTTTTTGTAATAGAATAGTATTAGTTCAATAGTATTAATATTAAGCCTAAGCTTAACTACTAATGCCGGTGGCGGTAGTTCTTGGATTTTTATTATTTTAATTAAAAAGCAATTTCCCATAAATTTAATATTCATAATTTAAATTTATTTGTATCATCTTATCCATTTCTATGATTTTTAAAACTGACTTTTACTAATTAGCTCAGATTTATTCAGATGTTTAAAGATTACAAAAGTATTAAACTATTATTGAATGTTATTTAAGCCCTTCCATCGCCCCGGTGAAGACAAAAAAAACGGCAATTTTTTTTTCTTTCCAGTTATGGGGTGTTGATTTTACATGTGGAGAGCGATAACATTCTTTGGAACAGGTTAAATTGACTATTTTAAAGTTATTAGTAATCAAAATTAGATGATAAACATGAGCTTTTGGGTTTAACTCATGTATGACACTTTCAACTTACCAATAGTCAAAAAGTGACACAAAAAAAAAACGGGGGTTCCCCTCGTTGGGTAAATTGCATGAGCGTCGCTGTAAGAAAAATATTTAATTTAATCGATAACAAATGTTTAATTAGAAAACTGTGACGTAGAACGCAAAAAATCCGAGTACACCACAGAGCCGATTGTGAAATGGCTACAAAAGTTTTACCGTGATATTTTGACTGCGCGGAAGGGATGCGCGTGCGTCTTTTAAAATACCTAATTCATTTTCTGGATATTCTTTTCGTGGAACCTGAAATAAAGTGTGAACAAGTGTTTTCAATGAAATTGTAAGTAGGGTTTTCTTTATTTCTTTATTTATAATTATGGTAAATTTTGACTACGATTGCCGCTATTTTCTCAATGGCCGTCATCTTGGTTAACACGTCACGTGAAGTCATCTATCCCTATGTCTAGCCTGAACCCTAAATCGATCCCTAAAATAATTTAGTAAAATTAAAAAAAGGGAAGTCACTCCCTGGAAAATAAGTCGTGGCAGTCGTAACTAAGATTACCCATAATTATTTTTGGCCATTTTTTGTTCATTTTCCTAGATTTCTCAACATTTACCTAATTTTTTATCGCAGTACTGTACCTGGCTATTGTTGAGAACAGTGCCCATGGCGGCATTTGCGTGTTTATTCAATATTGTGCAGGAGTCTTTCCCCTTTGTTTATTTTATTGTTTATATTCATTGGATGAAGTGTCGGCTTACCCATGACCTCATTTGCGTTTTATTAAATATTTGTGCAGCGAAGGAATATTTTAACAATCCGTTGGAACAATATTTCATGTGAATAATTAACGAAGATTAAAATAAAATTTACATTTTATGTTTTTAAAAGTTAAATTTCATGTTTTAATGAAAATAGACAAATAAGTTTTGTTGTAGTGTACTTTAAAAATATGCGTATGTAGAAAGGAGTGCTTAAACGTTACGTCACTTGTCGTCTTCTTTGATGTGCTCTCTGGGTGTCCGGCGGTAAGTGGAAATTCATTATTTTTTCATGTACAATTTGGTTCTTTTTAAGATAAATTTGGGGTTAGAGTTAGGGATTAAAACCCAACTTACAGTTTCATGAAATACACTTTTACACACTTTATTACAGGTTCCAAAGAAAATAATATGCACAAATGGGCCACAAATGAATAGAGCGCAACATCCGGCATTAGGCTAGCGTGTTGAAAAGATGGTGGCGAAAATAAAATATGATAATTAACCAACCAATGATGATTTAAAATTATAAATAATCAACCAATTAAAAATAATTTAAAAAACTAACTAAGGACAACTGCCACTATTTTATCAAATTTCACGAATGTATCCCGAAATCGATCCCTATGCCTAACCTAAACCCTAAATCAATCACTCAACCTAACCTAAACCCTAATTCACTGCAACTATAATAAACACACTAAAGACGCTGTGGCATCCGTCCTTAATTTTAGCCCTAACTTAAACTAACTTAACTGACTATAAATTAAATAATAATTTAGGCTTGTTTTCGGAAAAAACAACAACCTTAAAGTGGTTGCAAGAGGCCCTTCTGATGTTTCTATTTCTGTTATTAGATGTTCGTGGTGAGCTTCAACGGCTTCTTGTCGTAAAGTTTCAGCATCTTGTACAGCACCATTCAGTTTTTTCCAAGTATTTTCTCTGTAGGGTGTTACTTCCGCCATCTTTTCATTATTTACCTTTCCGCATGCGCAGCTATCGTTTCCTTGATGAAGAATTTACAAAACTTGAATCAGAAATTCTAAAAATTATAAGGACATCCTTGCAAAACAAATTAAGAAAAATTAAATTTGGTCGAATCTAAACTATGTTAACAAATTGAAAATAAAAAAATATATATATTTTTTTTAATTTTAAGACTTTCCATAAGGAAGTGCCTAATGGTAACCGAGTACCAATAGCCGCAAATGGCTATTCGTACCCGGCTGGTCACGTTGTGTTGGTTACGTGATGGTTATGACGGATATTTCTTGTTGGTTTGCCATCATAGTCGCCATTATTAGCAATCGAGAAATGTACCATATTTTCAAGACTTTCATATAGCTCTGAATATCATGTTGGGCCACAAACCATAAAACCCCACCAAAGACCAGAGCCGTTCTAAGGAGTTTGGGGGCCCTAAGCATGGAGCGTAAGAGTGTAATGCACAACCTCCTCATCCTCCTCCTCATCCTCATGTCCCTTACTCCTTGGACCGTTGTGGCGCCACAGATGACATGTGAACCATCCTCCTCCATTCCTCTCTCTCTCTTCAGCACTACGCACTGCATCGCCCAGTGTTAGTCCTGTCCACTCTTTGATGTTATCCTCCCACCTTTTTCTTTGTCTTCCTTTTCTTCTCCCTCCTCTTGTGGTGCCCTGCAATATTTCTTTGGGAAGCCCTTGTTTCCGTGTTACGTTGCCGTGCCATTGTAATTTGCGTTTTTTCACAGTCACCAGTAGGTCATCGTACTCCCTAATTGCCTGACGAACCCTTTCTTTCACTGTATCATTGGAGATATGGTCCCTATAGCAGATGCCAAAAATGCTTCTGAAGCATCTCATCTCCATCGCCTTTATTTTCCTTTCAAGATCGACTGTTAATGTCCAGGATTCGCAGGCATACAGGAAAATGGAGAGGACTAATGAGCGCATCAGCCTGATTTTGGTGTTTGGTGTTGTATATTTTTGTCATTCCATACTTTCTTGAGCTTTTTTAGTGCTGTTGTAGTCTGCGCAATCCTGGACATCAGTTCGGGCTTGGAGCCTTCTTCTGAGACTATTGCTCCTAGGTATTTGAAGCGGCCGAAAGTCTCTAATCTTTCCTCCCCGACCTTAATTTCAGTGGTGATGCCTGCGGTATTATTTGTCATCAGTTTTGTCTTTTCGGCACTGATTAGCATGCCAAAGGACGACGAGGTCTTATCAAGACGCTTTGCCAGGTCGGCTAGCTCTTTTTCGTTCCCAGCCAGCATAATTGTGCAAATCGTAGCAATCTGACACAGTATCAAAGAATCCCTATGAAAATTCCGAACCTGTCATCTTGGACACTTTCAAAATACGGTTAGTCAAAAAGGCTTCTACTTCTACGATTACAAAAAATATCTAAATAATTTCTCCCTTCAATAGCATCTTCCTTCGCATCAATAATTCATAAATATTGCTTGCTCTTGCCTTTAGAGGGGGGGGGGGGGGAGAGAAAAATGAATATATGAAAACACTCTAGCCACACCTCAGTCATGGCCGTAGAAAGTGGGGCGAAGGGGGTGGCCCACCCAGGGATCAATTTTTAATTATATGGAGGAGCGGCATTTTTTGCTAACTGCAGTGTTGTATCGTGAAAGGGGGTGCGAAAGTAGGGTCTGTGGATTCACCTCCCCAGGAAATATTTTATAATTTCAGAATCTAAAGGTAGGCATACATTTTTTAGTTAACCTGAATTCAGTGTTTCTATAGATTGGGGGAGGGGGGGGGGAACTTTTTTAAATGTCCGGGGGTGGCATGATGGCGCCCAGGACCATACATAAACTGAATTCACTCCAGTTGTGGCGCGCTTCACATGCGTGTATTTGAGTTTGGTGTTTCTTTAATTTCAGAATCTAAAGGTAGGCATACATTTTTTAGTTAACCTGAATTCAGTGTTTCTATAGATTGGGGGAGGGGGGGGGGGAACTTTTTTAAATGTCCGGGGGTGGCATGATGGCGCCCAGGACCATACATAAACTGAATTCACTCCAGTTGTGGCGCGCTTCACATGCGTGTATTTGAATTTGGTGTTTCTTTCAGACAATTTTGTGGGGGCATTTTAGACATTCGAGTGGGAAACGCCAAAATTATCCATAATAAGCATCATTAATATCTTTAACTCCACCCAAGTAATAAATTCATTTAAAGTTTTGCGCCCTTGAGGGTATGCTTTTTGCTCAAAGCTATTATCGTCCCTTGAAAAATTTAGAACCCAGAATTTTTTTGGCAAATTCACTAGTGCATTTTTTAACTTACTCGAATTTAGTTTAGCAGCATTCTACACTAAATTGGAGAAAAACGGAAGATACTAGTTAAAATGTAGGTGTCATTTAACCTCAGAGCCATCGTGTTGGTCCCGGCTGCAGGGGATCTCATATATTTTAGAACTTTTTTATATCAATTTTGAATGAAAAGTGGGGGAGGAAAAAAATCGAAAAGTGGCAAGGGGGCTCGAAAAGTGAAGAGACGGCTCTTGATTGACCTGCATGTCTTATATGCCTTTTTAAAAAATATTTTACTAAATAGTAACCCCTGAAATTTCAAGATTTAAAAAAAACAAAAACAAACTTTCTCCCAAAAAAAAAAAAAACTGGATCACAAAAGTAGAGGCCGACCGAATTTCGGCTTCGGCTTCGGTTTCGGCGCCGAAAGTGGCCGTTTTATCACTTTCGGCCAAGTTTCGGTTTCGGCCGAAACTGAAAAGTTAACTTTCGGCTTAATTTCGGTTTCGGCCGAAAGAGAAAAGTTAACTTTCGGTTTTTCTTCGGTTTCGGCCGAAATTGACTTAGACTTTCGGCCATGCGCCGAAAGTGACTCAGGTTTTCGGTCAATTAATACTCAGCGAAAGCGATATTTAACAACAAACTAAGCGACATTTAAGAACAAATTAAGCGATCTTTGAGAACAAACTAAACGATCTTTAAAACAAACTAAGCGATCTTTAAGAACTATCTAAACGATCTTTAATAACAAACTAAACGATTTTTAAGACCGAACTAAATGATCTTTAAGAACAAAACAAATGATCTTTAATATTAAACTAATTGATTTATAAGAATAAAATAAGCGATCTTTAACAGAAAACTAAACGTTCTTTAGGAACAAACTAAACGATCTTAAGGAACAAAATCAATTATCTTTAACAACAAACTAAGCGATCTTTAACAACACTAAGCGATCTTTATGAACAAACTAAACGATCTTTAAGAACAAATAAAGCGATCATTAACAAAAACTGGGCGATCTTTAAGAACAAACTAAAAGATCTTTAACAACAAACTAAACGATCTTTGACAACAAACTAAACGATCTTTAAGAACAAACTAAACGATCTTTAACAACAAACTAAGCGATCTTTAATAACAAACTAAACGATCTTTGACAACAAACTAAACGATCTTTAAGAACAAACTAAACGATCTTTAACAACAAACTAAGCGATCTTTAATAACAAACTAAACGATCTTTAAGAACAAACTAAACGATCTTTAAGAACAAACTAACCGATCAATAACAACCAACTAAACGATCTTTAAAAACAAATTAAGCGATCTTTTAGAACCACAATTTTTAGAGACCCGGTTTAAAAAAATAATATTTTGCATTAATTTCCCCCCCCCCCACCCCAATTTTTGCCAAATTTTCTCCTACAATACTAATTAAAAAAAATTGTAAAGCAATTTAAATTACTTTTATATTAAAATGGTAAAATCCAAAGTATTCATTAGATCAAGGGTCTCAAACTCAAATCATCAGGGGGGTGGGGGGGGCGCGCAGGAGGTAGTGTCTGAATGAGAGTGGGCCGCATCAAGTAATCCACGAAAAAGCGATTACAACTGTTACAATCTGCTAAACCTTTATAAATAACAATGAAATCATTAAGAGTTCTCAAGAACTAAGATTCACTTTCATTCACCTATTTACTGTTGAAATCAAAAATATATAAAACATGTTAAAAAATAATCAGAATTAAACTAGTCGGTGAGATTCGACTGAAACCGTCGCGGATAGTTACGTTATAGATATGAGATTGGGGGAAACGGGCCGGCGCATTTACACTAAACTTTTCTGTCATGTAGCGGGCCGCAAAATATCGTCTTGTGGGTCATAAATGGCTCGCGGGCCGCGAGTTTGAGACCCTTATAATAGATGTTTATTTATTTCTAAGATTCACTTTCATTCACCTATTTACTGTTGAAAACAAAAATATATAAAACATTTTAAAAAATAATCAGAATTAGACTAGTCGGTGAGATTCGACTGAAACCGTCGCGGAGAGTTACGTTATAGCTATGAGATTGGGGGAAACGGGCCGGCGCATTTACACTAAACTTTTCTGTCATGTAGCGGGCCGCAAAATATCGTCTTGTGGGTCATAAATGGCTCGCGGGCCGCGAGTTTGAGACCCTTATAATAGATGTTTATTTATTAATATTCACGATTATCTCATTTTATAAAAAGAATGTAAATATTTATACTTTCCCCATCATTTTCGATATATGCAGAATGTATGCGGGAACGAATTTCAAAATATCTTAACATTTCATTTTCGGTTTCGGCTTCGGTTTCGGTTTCGGCCGAAATTCATTTTTAACTTTCGGCCATTTTTCGGTTTCGGCCGAAAGTCATTTTTAAACTTTCGGTATTTTTTCGGCTTCGGCCGAAAGTCATTTTAAACCTTCGGCCTATTTTCGGCTTCGGCCGAAATCAGAAAATCACTCTCGGTCGGTCTCTACACAAAAGCACTGTTAGCACCACACAGCATTTTACACGGTAACGGAAATATAAAAAAAAATTACTTGTAATAATTACCTTTCCTAAATATTATCAAGTTTTGTCAGAGTAAAAGAAAGAAAAAAAAAGTTTTGTAGAAAGGTCTATACACTTTTATGGGTTTTCAGAACTGGTTATTTTTATATAAGCGTATATAACGGTGTTATTATGTTAAGAAGACATGATATGTTTA